CTCTAGTGGCTTTATTAGGCTATCCTTGCAGTGTCTACACGCACTCATCCAGGGTCACTTGCTCTGTTAAACTGCAGGCTGCATCATGCCTATAATTCATTAATTTCAGTTGACAGACTAATGTCATATTTAACTGTACATTGTGCATTAAAAAAGGCCTCTTCTGTGTCTTCAGGTATGTCTCGGAGCCTGGAGTCAGTTTTGAGCGGACCCCGGCCTAGGGCTCACACGGTAGGGGTGGTCAGAGTGGATCAGCAGGGCAGACTCATGCCCCCTGTGTTGGCAGCTCATAGCGTGGTGATGCAGCAGGACCCACGCCGGTTCAGCGAGGCCAGCATCGTCCCTCCTCCGCGGCCGCCACTGCCCAACCTGAAACGCCTGAACATGAAAGTCCAGAGGAGGCCCGCAGTCCAGCCGGCCCCAGGCACCTCATGGCCTCTGCAGATGGTCCTGTCCCCTCCAGCGCAGACACAGCCTCAACAACAGCCTCAGCAGGGCAACGGAGGCTCCAACCTGCCTAAAATGGCCCACATGGCAAACTCAACCCCGCAGCTGGATGAGTACACAGACACCAGAGAGAGAGAGAGGGAACGAATCAGGGAGCGAGAGAAGATCCTATACGTGCAGAACATGAGAGACAGTCTCACGGCGCAGGTAAGAGACTCATTTATTATTGCTCTTTGGATGAAAACTTGTTCGATGGATTCAAATACAAGCTTTGTTGCTCTGCTCCTCTCAGGTGATGGAGGCAGTACATGGAGTGACCACTGAAGAGGTTCAAAATGCTCTTCAACGTAATGACTGGAACCCAGTGCGAGCTGAGCAACAACTCAAGGTCAGACCATGAAATGAGTGTCAATGAAAAAACACCGCATCTACCTGTGTGTTGCAGCGAGCCATATTGTACTTTGTAAAAGTGTCACTTGCCAGTGATTTGTATTAATGCCATAAAAAGGCTTTAAAGACACGATTCAAAAGCAATATGAAAAGACACAAATAGCATTGTGCTTAATTAAAATATAAAACAGAATAAACAAAATTACATTGCATTGAGCAATAACAAATAGTCCCAGGTTAACTTAATAAAATGCAGTGTCAAACAGAGAAGTCAGAGAACAGAGGGTCATTAGCTAATCTTGTGGCCCTGTCATGTAGCTAGGCCTTGTGTTAAAAGCTAGTTTTAAGGCCAATATTATTTATATTGTGCTCACATGGTGCAAATTTCTAACTAATGTTGGGTTTAATCAAATAACCACAAACTAAATTACACATGCATCCAGTAAACGTGGGTCAAAGTTAGTTAAAGGAGTTAATCTAGTATAGGAGTAGGTTGCCGAACATGTAATGAAGCTGCGATGTGTAACCTGCTGTTTGCACTGTATTTAGTGCAAACGTGAAGGCCACAGGGCAGTAGGGTGGGGGTGGTTGTTTAACATAGCCCCAACAGCAAATTTGTTCCTTGAGGTGCACTAACAGCATGATGTTCCTACAAATATTGAATAAGGTCTTGACCGAGCAGAGATCAAGTCAAATTTGAAAACTAATTTTCATTCAGAAAAATAGAGCAAATCCACAGTGTGTGAAAAAGTTGGATTTGGTTGCCGATCTTTAATGTAGATCTACCTGATAATATAAACTAATATGTTTTTTTGTCTAAAATGAGGCCCAGTGCAGTTTTAATCAATCATCAATGCTAAAAATATTTTTTGAACACTTCTTAAAAAGGTAATTCAACTCTGAGTCACAGTTCAGAAAATTGCAGGTTGTTATGCAATAAACCAGGAAGCATGTTGCACTACAGGTCCCTCAACACTGATGTCACAGGTGATTTGAACAACTGCTTTAATGTGTGGACAGGGGTGCAACTTGCCTGAAATAACCAGCAGTTTTCTGACATGGAGTTTTTGTCTGATTCCTGTCTTATTGTTTGCCGTCTTCTCAGCTGGAGCAGCTGTACTCGCTAAGCATCTGCTCCAAAGAGGAATGTCTGAAGATCCTCTCCAAATACCAGTGGAACCTGCAGATGGCTAGCCGCTACCTGTTCCGCTGGTCACGGGACGACAGGCTCGGCCCCGGCGATAGGGAGCGACCTCAAGTCAGCACAGAAAGACGAGTCTGAAGTGACGTTTTCAGCACACTGACGCTCTGACACTGGAAGCCGCCCAGTACCTTGAAATGGGAACAGATGAGAGGCCCAGTGCATAAAAATAGAACAATGAAAATGGTTGAATGTAAATAGGAAAAATATTCTGAAACAGGAATGTAGCACAAAGACAATGTTTCTGAGTACTGTTTTTTTTGTTGTTTTTTTGTTTTTTTATACTTTTAATGAGACGCTATTCAGCACATTGTATTTTTTGAAAATAGTTTTTTGTATCTTAATGAATCTGTATAGAAATGAATGTTTATTGAATAAAATCGATGATCTGGTGTCAACGCTGAGCTGCCATGTGATTATATGAGCAGTTTATTCAGGTGATTCGCTGCAAACGTGCACCATAATTACTGACATTACATTATATGTTTTAAAGTCCATGTAACAAGTGTAGTAGACACATGTCATATAGTTATATCAAACATTTACAGGTTTTCGGGAGCATATGTGAAAGAAGTTACAAATAAGTGTTTTGAGTCAGCATCAGTCGCTGAAGACTACAAGTTTAAAAGTGAAAAATGGCTAACAACTAGAGGCTACATTAGCTGCTACTAGCATAACACATCTGAATCTCTGACAGAACCTTTGGTGGTTGAGATGCATTGTGGGTAACGTGGGTACCTGGCACCTGTAAGTAAAGGTGCCAGGTTTTGATAAGAAAATGTGTGAAATAAAAAATAAATAAAAATAAGACTTTATCTCTGCTGCTGCATCTTTTAGTTTTCACAGTACCCACAACGATGAGCTGCTTTATGACTGTATAACACTCTTTAATCTAATAGGAAATTTGATGCCTGCTGGTCTTCAGGAAGATTGTGTCTTGAAATGTCATACATTATTTAAATCCCCAGCCTTACCTTGTCCTGAATGCAGGGTCAAAGCTTTGTGAGCTTTACATTTCTATTTTAAGAGAGAGGTCGTGGATTCTTGTGCTGACTGAGACATCAGATGGGGTGAATTGCCCTAATGTGGGATATTTTTTGTTTTTCAGACTTCTGTGGCAATGTATTAAATCAACACCCAATACCATTTTAGAAACCTCAGGATGTATCCTAATCAAATCAAAAGAGAAAATACAGATAACACATTCCTAAAGGAAATGACAGACATATTGGTGCTCTTCGTGCAAATTCTTTGAGACAATTGGAGACTTCATAATGTGGGACAGGTGTATCCCTAATGTGGGACACTGAAAGTATATTGTAAAAAATAACCTTAATTCATGTAGAATATTAAAAAAACTTCAGTTAGTAACTCTTAGTTATGGATGAATGAAACATTGATAACTGAACATCAACATGATATATATAATATGATATGTATATCATATTATATGATAATTTTGATGCAATTATGACACAGACATTAAGCAACTGTTAACCCAGGCCTGTGTAATATTATGCAGATAGAAAAGAGTTAAATGCACAATTGGAATTCCTGACTCTAGTTTATTTTACTTCAAAACAAACACAAACAATGTCTTTTATCCTGCCTTTTCTCTCATCCTTTCCCTGATTCTGCCTCTCGCTCTGCATCTGAAAAGTGTCTTTCTCTGCTTTGCCATCGTGATTTGAAATACATTTAAATGAATTAATCGTTAGATGCATACAAGTAAGTGTATTGGCTTTATTAGTTTTTAAATTAACACACACACAACCACAAAAAGCCTTCAAACCGCCATCCCCCAAAGTATAACAATTTCCCATGACCTTAAACATGTAGTAAAGCATTCTAATAGTGTATAAGACCACTAAAACCCTGTAAAAACATTTTTGTCCCACAAACCATGCCCCACTTGATTTGATAATAATATAAAATATATAGTTTAAACATGCAAAGTTACATTATTTTTTGATGGACAAACATTTTATAAGCACAATAGATAGCAGGGTTGTTTATTTAAATTGACCTTATACTCCTTAATAACAAATTTGGCAAAACTCTATGCAACTGACAATTGGGTGGTCTTTACACAAGGTGCCTCCTGTTTGATGATTGCTCCACCCTCATATGTGACTGGACATTTGAGAAGTTACATGATTTTGATCACATGACACCATAGCTTTGGCTAACCAATAGTTTCACTGGTATTCCTGTATTTATGGGGGACCTACAAACACAGACCTTAAGTGTCCCACATTAGGGCAATCCACCCTATACAGTATTCTGTTGGTTTGGTAATTTCCATGTTTACGTTACAGAACATATTTGTCTGTTGCCTTCTTCTTAACGGGATGCAACTTAAGAAAACCTACACTGTGTAAATAAACATACAGTGTAAATGTTTTCACAGCAACAGCATGCAGAATTTAAGGCGAACTTGAACTACAAGTTGCTAAGCCTTTGAATTGTTGATTCCTATATAGCAACAACCATAAGATTAAATATTATGACTTATTTCCCAGGAGTACTGAGGTTGGATGGATGTGCAGATAAGTTCCCATAAATACTCTGCCTGTATTTCCTACTTGTTGCCGGTAGGTGGAGCATGATATTCAGTATGAGACAGAGGGGAGTGGTCTCCTTTAATTGCATCTGAAGGCCATTGATGTAGACAGTCAACTGAAAGCAGATGGATAAAGGAAGCTGCTAGACACATAAAATGGATTTTGTATTGATAAAGTTAACCTGTAACTAAAGCAGAGCTGAGTTTTAGAGCAACTGGACTTTGGCTCATTTAGTGCCAGGAAATGAGAGACTGGATTTCCCTCCGAAGCAGTGATCATTTTTTCCAAATGAAAGCAGATGTTCCACATTTAGACTTAAGGTTTCCGAGGGCCTTCCCAAAAACTTTCCTGGACAATCACTGGAGCAGATGAACACAAAACAAGAGTGTACCAATGGCTTAATATGATATTCGTTTTATTTCTGAACTACAGGGTATTTCTTTGTATGTGTAAAAAAAAAAAATAATAATAAAAAAAAAGGAATTCACAATCACAAAAAATAGTTTTGATAGAAACACAGAAAGGCGATAGAAGGTTCAACAGATTGTATTAAATGTACTGTACATCCTTTGGCTACTTAATCTTTCCTTATCAGAGGTCAGATTGCACAAAGGCAATATGGAAATCTATACAAGTATATATTGATAATAAGACACATTAAGCTACTGACAGTGTGATAGAGAGCTGCAATCTGGATTAGAGAGCACTAGTGGCAACCAAGCCTCACAGGAGACACACCCATGTTATCTCAGGATTATTATTACATACAGAGGAGAGAGCTGCATTCAACAGGCACCAATTGGAAACATTAACCTGCCATTAATTGTATTCTTTCTAAAGCACAGCAATCAAATGAGCTAAAGAGACACACTTTTTGCTAGAAAAACTACAGTTCAGGTGTTTCCTTAAAGCGGTTGCTGGCAGGAGGGTTTCCAACATCTGAGGTCAGATTAATCTCAATTACTGCTTTTTACTTTCTTTCTATTCCCCTTTTATCCAGATTGTCCCTTCTATTCAAACTTCCTACGTTCTCTGTCTCCTGTATCATCATTACACAGGCACATGTTCAACCCAGTGGTATCTAGAGAAATTGGAGGGCGAGGTTTGGCTGCGACATCAGTCTCCACTGACAACCACTAAACTACAGAGGGACTGTGAGAGCACTTACACCGTAGCCTGCACTACAGTTTTGTTAGAGTATGTACACATGGAGGGCTTCGAGGAAGAGTAAGGCAGCTGAGGTAAAGACAGAGCGCTTTGTTAAATACGGTCAGCTTGTGTCAACTCTTGTGTTCACAACTACGACTAAAATGAAAAAAAAAAATAAAACATTCTCCCACTCCTCTTGCTAACACAATCACCACTCCCCTATAGAAGCTAAATAATGACAGCCTGTGGCTAATGTTCAGGCTTTATATAAAGCTTTTGTTAATTTCCAGGAGTTGAAATCTGCAGCTATGCTAGCAGCTCTGTGAGGCTGTACTTAAAACAAGCTCACAACCCTAACTCTGGCACTGCCATCTGCTAGCAGCTAGCATGGTTAAAAAAGAAACAACAAGGAAATTAATTCTGCTTCTACATCACTAACAGTATTGCACTTATACTAACTCTATTGGGATATTACTTCATAAAACATGAATAACTGTGATATACGTCGATAAACATACATAAACATATATGTCATGTTAATGCCGGTGTAGCATAAAGCACATTCAGACGTGTGTTGATATCTACTCTTGTTCTATGTGTGGACACTGAAAAAGACATTGAGGGTAATGTTGACTTTCTTTGGCAGGGATTAAATCTCAGCTGGAGGTAAGTTCACTCACTTAAAATAGATAAAGGCCTACAGACTGTACAGAGTATAAGTAGCACTGAAAACATGGCAGCCTGTATCGATCACGGAGTTTGGATACATTTAAAAAACAATCCTTGCATCTGGAATTGAGAGTTCGTTAGCGGATATTGGTCTGTGTGTATAAAAAGGCGGCACCATATTGGCTGGAATCTGGTGAAGGATTTACAAAACGAATAGAAAAACACAGTTCATGAACAGAGAATGTCTAACGGGAGGAAGTCCTTGCTCTCATGCTGTTGTTTAATCTTCTCCCCTCCCATCTGTTTTTCTCTTATGAAAACACCGTGCTGCGCTGGTTGGCATCCCCGACTTTCTCGAAGAACATGAAATCCTGCAAAGTGACAACAAAGAAGGAAAATTAATTAATTCCCTGGTCAGTCCTAGGCATCAAGTACACAAAAAAACCTGGTGATATTCAAAGAGGAAAGACTCTAATATGAAAAATAAGAATTTTGCATTACAATGAGGAAGCAGGCGCCCATGAGCACAGCTTTCATCTTCACATCCAGGTCCAGCGGGAACTGGATGCCAAAGTTGTCCGTGTCTGTGAAGACTTCCTTCAAAAGGCCGCTCCACTGCTTGCTGATGCGACCAATGGGCTTCTCGCCACCTTTGCTCTTCAGCTGCAGAGCAATAAGGACAGAAATGTCTACAAGAAGCTTTACCAAGCAAAATATACCGGGAGTTTATCATAGAGAGGAGAGAAAAAATGGCTGGAAAAAGTCTATCCAGATGTTGAGGTGTTTCCAAAAAATGCTAGACTTGGACTGAAACGGATTAAAGCAACTGGGAAATATGCTTGTGGGAGAATTTATATGGAATTTGTGTGTGAAGATGTATTGTTTTACAAGGAGGTGCCACGGACCCCTTTGGGTTAGGTTGTTTTGGGGTTAGAAGGGCCAGATGGCTGGAGCTACAGATAAGAGGGACCTTGAGAGAGTCTCCAGACTTCCCTCATAGTGAAGAACAAAGACAACCATTGAGACACTCCTGATGATGATATAGGGTAACTCGTGTTTGTTCCTCCCTCTTTGTTACAAGAAATAGGTGCTTTGTATCTTTAAGTTGTGTTATGACTATGAGAGTTAGATGAGAAGATTGATACCACTCTCGTGTCTGAAGGATAAATATGAAGCTACAGCCAGCAGGCAGTTAGCTTAGCATAAAGACTGAAAACAGAGGGAAACTGCTAGCCTGGCTCTGTCCAAAGGCAACAAAATCCATCTTCTATTAGCTCTAAAGCTCACTTTATTATTATTATATCTCGTTTATTTAATTAACAGGGTGTGGTGACTTCCTAGAGTCGTTACCGTGACAGAGCGCTTTGGTAAATACTGTCAGCTTGTGTCAACTCTTGTGTTCACAAGAGTTGACTCCGAGCCAATAAATAATCATGCACGTTACCTTCCATAAAACAACAATTTGTCGTTTCTTTACATTTTTGTTTTTGTACGGGGTAAACAAATGAGATGTAACGCGTTAAATGGTGACCTTTGAGGTGCTGGTTGGTGGATTTTGCTACCTTTGGACAGAGCCAGGCTAGCTGTTCCCACCGGTTTCCAGCCTTTGTGCTAAGCTAAGCCACTGTAGCTGTAAGGAAGGTCTCGGCTGGCTGAGCCACATGAAATTCACCAAAAGGAGGAGAGTTTCACCCACAAACACAATAATCCTGACTTCACCTCAAAGTTGACGTCCCCACAGCAGTTGCAGGCAAAGCAGGGCCCCTCCAGTTTCATCACGGTCTCCTTGTTGGCTCCCTGGATAGAAAACCGTGGCAGGAAGGGGTGCCAGTCCTGTTTGACGTAGCCTATGGTGGTGCCCGGTGGTGCCTGGACCTCCATCTGTAGGTCACATAACATAGTTGCATATACATGCTAACGTCATACAACTTTGAAACGTTATACCAGACATCCTTAAAATTTGACCTCATGCCTTGACACTGACGCTATAAATAAAACATCACGGGGTTGTATGTCACACGGGACAGCAGGAATGATAAGTGAGCCTCTGACTACTCCATTGTGGTACCACATAACAAAGGTAACACATCTCACATGGCTCCAGTCGGGCCAGTAAACAGAACTGCAGTATGTGAGAGCGTAGCAGCTTGGGTTCGGGCCAATGGGAATGTACAGCAGCCAGGCTGCCAACGATGTGATTAAACAGATGTGATTAAACGGAGACAGTGGGAGAAAGGTCTCAGAGGTGGAGGGATGGCAGAGGATCGGGGGAGTCTAGCAGTTAGTTTGGACAGACAAAGGGCCATTCATAGACTTACCAACCCCTGCCTGAGCAGAGGGTTGCACAAAGACACTGAAGCATCACTCAACCGAATCATAAAGCAAAGCGAGGAAAAGACGCCTCTGAATGTTAGCTGCTTACTTTTACCGGTCGTTATCTGGACATGCAAATAGTTTTAGATTTAATAGCCTACATTTGACATATCCATCTCAACAACATCAGAAGTAATGTGGGAGATGGATATCTCAAAATCTGAACAAATAAAACCAAGAAGTGACTCTTTAGTTAAGGATAAGGATAATGAATAATAATAATGAAATGCCAAAACCACAAAATGTGTTCCTCTGTCTCTCAGTACTTCCCTAACGCGTACGTGGCAGTCAGCCCCAAGCCCACTCGTTCCTACTACAAGACAATATTCAAAAAAAACAACAAAAAAAAACAGGTCACAAATATATAGTCTTCACTTAAGTTATAGTTTCAGTAATTTTCCAAAACAGCTGGGCACTGTAGTTTTTAGGAGATTTTACTCATATAGGAGTAAATGGTGCATTCGTTGGGGACTATTTTCATTTATTCATTTAGCTGATGCTTTTATCCAAAGCAACTTACAATTCTTACAAGTCGCACGCCTCTGGAGCAACGAGGGGTTAAGTGTCTTGCTCAGGGACACAATGGTGGATGTGTTGCAGTGGGAATTGAACCCAGGTCTCCCACACCAAAGGCAAGAATCTTATCTATGCGCCATCCCATTAATACACATTTAAAGCTCTAGTGAGGTTTTACAGGACGTTGTATGTGGAATTGACCACAAATAAACTATAATGCCCATGTTTTCCTTTAACTCTTAACTATTCCGTTTCTGCTGTCAACTTACTTTTTATTGCTGCTTCATAACATTTTAATTTAGCACTTCCATTTGTTGCTTTGGTTGTTTTTATTATTTCCTGGTTTTGCGTGTCACAAAATTATTTGTTACATCTTAACCACAAAAGCTAAACTTTGAATCAACTGCTTCAACGAGATAGTCAATTCTTCTCTATCAGCAACAATAAATACGGTTAAATATTAACAACATTAATAATGGCCCACGGTATCTTGGAACACTTAGGGCAAACAGAGTGTTTATCCCTAGCTGGAGTGAGGGCTCAGGGCAATTTGATGTTGAATTAACTATTGAACTGGTGCAATATTGGTCTTGGTGTGGTAAATCAATATAATATGAGGCTATTAAAACACCCCCACACACAGACCTCTTGCAGGCAGCAGGGACACCAGCAGGAGACGCAGCGGAAAGGCCGTATGAGACGGATGACTTCACGGTCCATGTTGTCCTTGATCTTCATGTCGAAGCTGCGCAACGAGCCGCAGCAGTTCCTGGTGCAGCAGTCGTTCTTCTCTTTGGCATGGTAGATCTTTTGTCCCAGACTGTTCTTTATCTCATACTGGTTGTTGGTCTCAAACCCAATGAATACTGGGTGGGGTTTGAAGGAGAGGGGAGAAAGGAAAAAAGGTGGAAATACTGACTAACAAAGTGTAGATAAGTAAAGAACTCCAAGGACAGGCATCACTTTATCATTATGATTGATGATGAGAGGGTTGAAGCTCACAAGTGCACCAAGAACTGACACACTGCAGCTGATTATTTGCTGCTTTCAAAGTGGGAAGTGTCAACCTGACTGGCTGAAAAAGTGATGCACCTTACCTTCTAAGAGTTCCACTTTTTGATGGATCAGGATCTGGTCAATCTGAAATCATCAGAGCGCGCGATGTAAGTTAAGAGTTAACAGTTCAAAATATATCCATCAGTCTGACAGTGTTATTCCTCTTAAAACAAGGGGAAAAGCTGCGAGCATGGAAGTTTCACTTATTTGCAATGCAAAGCAACTTCCGCCATGAATTTGAATAAAAACCACATTTTAATACTAGTTGTTTTTTTTGTCTGAGTACATGAAGAGCTATTTGCTGTAGAACCATAAAAGCAAGTCAGTTTGTTTAACTCAAATTGAACAAATCCGTTTCTTGCTGAGACTGGTTTTAGAGAGAACAATGGTGGGTGTGAGCTTTACAAATTCAAAAGGTTGTGAGGTCATACTACTTTAAAACTGGATTTTAAAAAGGAACAAAGTTAAAAAAAAAAAAAAAAAAGTGTACTTTCACTGACTTTCCAATGTAATACGCTCCAATTTTTGAAGCAGAATCTTTTAGTATGTAATGGATTTGATTTCAGCTCTAGAGAAACACTGTTTCCAGAAAAACACAGAATCTTTGTCCACATTTTATGGCTACTTACACATGTGGCTCTTTATTTAACAAAATGCCCAGTGAGATTTATTTATTCATGCTGCTGATCCGTCTTTGTGCAAGATGAAGACACTTCTAAGAGAACAGCTTACTTTCCTCTCATCTTAAGGAATTTCAAGAACCAAACCTGTGTTTTTGAAGATGTTTTTTTGATTTCTCGGTCCTACCTGTGTGAGGTACTCGAGCCCCGGCGGGACCCCAACAGGAACCGCAACTGGAGCTCCAACCGGGGCCGGGGAGAATGCTCCCGGAGGGCCGCCATACTCCGGTGCTGGAACTGTGCCTGGGCCCACCGGACCAGGCTGATACATGACAGGAGGTGGGCCTGGATTGTAGCCCATGTTGAAGCCTGGTGGTGGGGCTTGACCGGGCTCTCCGTATCCCCCCGGAGCATATGGATAGGGGGCTACAGAGGCACCGCTGGGTTGAGGCATGGGGTAGGGTGGCTGGTTGGGAGAGCCTGGGTAAACTGCGGAAAAGACAATGATATTAGTTCAAACATCATCTTCTACATGTTTATTCTTCTGTTTGTTATAATTGACACACACACACACACACGACTAGTAATAATGCAGAAACATTCAGACCATCACTGCAGCAGAGTGACGTCAGCGGAGGAAGTCATGATCTGTGTGTGTCTGGCTGATGGCAGCTGCCCGGTGCTCATTAAGCGTGTGAGCAAGTGTGTGTGTGTTTACTGTAGATCATCCTGCTTTTCCCTCCTGGGACAGCAGAGCCAATAAGCTACTTATTAGCAGAGCTACAGAGCAGACAGCAAGCACTCACGAGGGGAGTAAATAAACAGCCAGTACTAGATATGATTAAGAGTAACAGCCCTTGTGGTTTTCATTTGTCCCTGCCTGGATGCTTCGGATCGTCTCATAAGAAGAAAGTCTTTATTTAAACACGATGATTGTCAGTCTGTCTCTCTGTCCCTCCTCTCCAGGCACTTTCCTGTTTTCCCAGGTCCTCTCATTACCATTTTCCATCTGTCCACCAGATGCGGTCAGGCTTTCCGTCCTTTCCACATCACCTGACTGCCCAACCCCCTTACACACCTGTTTCCACTTCTCTTGTCAGCCCTGAAGTTTCCTGACCTTCCCTGCACACCTGTTGCCACGCTCCAGGCCGGACTGTCCTATGTTATATTGCTGTGTGTGTGTCATGTCTTGGGTCTGCCTTACCTGTGTTTTGCACTTTATTGCCTGACCACTGGACTTTTAATTCTTGTCTGCGCCTTGTTTTTATCCGTTTTCCTGTTTGGACTGCTTCTCTGGTTAAGCCCCTTGTCTGCCTCACCGTCCCGTATGACTGTCTTCCTCCATTTGTGTATTAAGTTACTAAACTACATCAGGCGTCTGCGTTTGGGTGTTACCCCTGTACTCCTGTTACCCTGCTCACATCAGCTTTGACAACAGTGTACATCGCATCAATATACGTCCTCTAAACATGTTTATGAAAAGCTAATAAAAGACTTTGTGGTTTAAGAGTCCAATTACTCAACGCACAGTCAAACATGGTTTATATGAGCCCCAATTAAAGTGGATCACAGGGAATTTAAGAGCTTAAATGGGAATCTAAAAGATGTGCAAATGCATGAGGATGTCTATTTAATTAAGTGGAAGGCTGACTGTCATGTGTTCGCTCACTATCAGATTGTCTGCAATGTCATGTCACCACAGGATTACTGCTCAATGGTATCAGCCACACCTTTCGTTTTGTTCAACCAAAACAACATATGATTTTCTCACTTGACCAGAAGAGGTACCAACAATGGCTTTGATGCGGTTCCTTGCTAGTGGTTCCTTTGCTAAATGCTTGCAAGAGGAATCATTCAATTTTAACTGGGTGCACTGCCTCAAAAAAGCAACTGCAATGCTCGTTTCCCAAAACTAATTGAAGCAATTAAAAAATGTCACCTAATGTTTTGATGGTGTTGCTGAATGTGTTTCAGCTAATAGGCTGACAAGTGCAAGTTTTGTCTTTTTAATGTAGCGTGTTAAAAAGAATTTGTACTAGCATACTTCTTCTGATTCTCTTCTTGTGACATCTGTTATTAACGTAACACTGACATGATTTGTCAATTCACTAATTAGTTGAGACAGAAGTTAATTGACTTTGATAATCTACTGAACCATTTTTCAAAAAATGCCAAACTCTCTGTTTGCAGTTTCTCAAATGTGAGACATGTCTGCTTTACATTGTTAACTGAATATGTCTGGCATACGAATTACAGTCTCAGAAATTATTAATATCCTTTCAGGATTTTCTGTTTCATTTTACAGTTCACTGGCTCTCAGTGTAATACAGAATCATTTTCAAGTCTTTAAAGCAAATGTCACTGACAACAGTCCTGTCTGGCCCTGAAGGGTTTCTATCGGTCTCCTAATATGATTTAGATCTATTGAGGGTGTTTTATTCTTACTTTTGGTTTCTGATGACTTGAGATCTGTCACAATGGTTTAAGAAAATGTGTCTATATTCTCATGCTTGTGGTAGTTAAGTGTAAATGTGTCTGGACACGTCTGTGGAGTAGGTGTGAGCTTGTTTTCTGTGGGTGTTTTTTTTTCTCTTGTATCCTATCCCTCTGTGTGTGCCACTTGCTGCTGTTTGCACTTAAATGTAAAGCTCATTCAGTTCTTATGACTAAATAAAATGCCCATCCCTTGCTTAACAAAACAAATAGTGCCAATAAACAGCACGTCATCGGTGTCGAATTAAGATGGATGTGTGTGGTATGTCCATTGCGTAATTTGTACCACAGCTGACCAAGCTGGTTTGTTGGCATGGCAGGACAGTCCAACTACGGCCTTAATCAGCTAAACAGTTCACTTGACCACTGGCACACAGTTTGAAAGCTGAATTCATGTTAGTAAAACTCAAAAAGAAATGCAGATTAAAGTCAGAAAGCAACTGCTGCCTCTCTAACAAGGGCCTGAAATCAAAAAGCAGCATGACTAACACGTCCTGTGAACTTTGAGGCTTGCTGTTGCTCCACCTCCTTCCACATTCCTTTCTCTACTTGCAGGAAACAAAAAAAACAACATTTAAAGCAGCGTGTTTGCAGGAAAGGCTGCCTTCATGTTGACAGAGGGAAACACAACGGTGCCTTTCACCTCCTAAACTAATCTCCCGAAACTGAGAGGAGTATGCTGGACCAACAGGCAAAATCACAAGTGTTTTCACTTCAGCGTTCATGCCAAGCATTCGAGGAATTTCTTTAAAATTTCACCACCTTGGGGAGGATAAAGTTTTTCAAGGGCAGTGGCGGTTTCTGGGGGAACCACAGGGTTTCAATTCATAATGACGCACAGACGAAAGTTTTCTACAGGAAAGTCTAACAGAAACTTTCATGCAGAGCCTAATCATTTCACAATGGCAGCAAAATGGAGTAAGCCAGTAAGGAAGTGCTAAAGCCAGTCCACTGTTGTCATTATTATAGTATGATTCCTCTAGATTTCTGTGTAAAAAACTAAACACTTTTCTAGGTGCAGCATTACGCCACTTACCAGGAGTGGACATGGCGAGGAGAGGGCAGAAACTTTTCTGTGCGCGGAGTGAAAGGAGGTCACACTTCCCAGTCCCCTTTCAGGGTCTCTATAGGAAACTGGAGGAATGAAAGGGAAAGGGAGGGGGAGGTTAATGAAAAACATAACTGAGGGGGGGGGTTCACAGAAACAGACGATGACAAAAAGCATCCAACTCCAGCAACATTCAGCCTTTTTCACTCACACAACTACGCCGCTCGTGTAATCATGTGCCTTGTTAATCATCCCACCACCATGATTTAATAATATCGGTTTAAAACCATCATAATATAGTCCAGAAGTCCAGAAAAATCATGTGATGCAGTGAAAAAATAAAAAGGCCAACAGTTCTTTTGTATGCATATGTTTGCTATCTGAGATGCATGAAACATAAGTGGGTGTGACCTGTTTTAGCAGAGGGAGGAGGGCTGGTATTTATATTTTTCCACTGAGTGGGATCAGCCATGACCTCTGCTGCTCCACAATCTTTTATTTTGCTACCATTACCATTAGGAATGACTAGATGAAGCCTAATTTCCGGTTTAGACAAGGTTGAATCACAAACAAATCCCTCATAAAAAAGGTCATCAGAGTTAATTTTTCTGATAACACTTTATAACTTGTCACAGCATAGCCTACCTACACGGCCATCCTCCCTGGCTTTATCTCTGCCACACACACACACACACACCCAGGCTGGTGGAAGCCAGATTGAAAAAAAAACATATTAATAAGACAAAAACATGTATGAACGCAGGAATCTCACCTCTCTGGTAGCTGGTTTGTTCTCAGTCCCTGCTAGAGAAGTGACAGTGAAAAGAAATCAATTGAATGTGGAGAAGAAAAACAGCCCGATCCACGAAGCCAAGAGGCGCTTTTTTAAATCGTCTTGAAACCTGTTCCTCATCGCTGCGCTGCTGCTCCCTCCCATTATAATTATTCTCCGCCCCTTTCCGGCCCATACTGCCTTAAGAAGACAACGTGCCGTGTCATAAAAGTGGAAACATGTTATTATACCATGGCACGCAGCAGGGAGGAGGGTCCGTTTCACACGGTGTTAATGACAACCAGCCGAGGGCGCTAATACCTCAGTAATGACAGGCACAGTCCACAGACAAATATTTCAGGAAAACAACTCCAGTGATTTCACGTTCTTTGCATACCACACTGTAAAAATACTCCACCACAAGTACTTGTTATTATATAGTATGATCAGCAAAATGTATTCAACGTATCAAAGTTCATTATGCAGAAAAATATATAGCCTCTGCACTGTTCATTTTTTAAATTAGTTATTATAAGCTGCTGGCCATAGTTTGGTTGCCTACCTGACAATAACTAATATATGTTGCTCTCCCTTAAATGTTTTTTTTAAGTGTAGCCAAATAAAAACTACAGTATTTCCCTCTGAAATGTTAACGTTAGTGAATCACTAGTAGTGATTGGTAGTAGTCGTAGTACTTGAAAAAGGTACTTATGTACTCAAGTACTTTCCACTACTGACTCCAAGTAAAATAAACTCTTCTAAAACAAATTACCTGTAGTCAACTAAACTGAATTTAAGTAGCCAAAATGCTACATTAGCTAACTGACATCCTGCCATGTTTCCACTGAACATTGTTAAACTAAACTAAACCTGAATTAACCAACCTATACTGTTAAACTAATACAACTAAATTAAATTTAGAATTAATTAAAATCTGCACTGTATTTTAAGACTGAGTCAAATGATTATGTGAAATGTGGAAGGGGTTGCTAGCAGCAGACTCACGAACCAACAGAGAATTATCACCCGACTCTGGAGCTTTTTAGCATCTTTAGCTCATTGTCTTAATTTTACAGCCACATTTAACCCAAATTCGCTGCACACTACGTTACCAGTTAAACAAAATCCCTTTTAAACTCAATGTACTCAACCTCCCCGGCACAAAGTTAGCCACTAGCAAGTCAAACATCTAGCAGCTAACTAGCTTAACGATTTAGACTGATTTAGATTGCTTCTCACAAGTTAGTGGAGACCAAAACAAAGCTGAAAGGACAGTGAACATTGGACTTTCATTTGGCAGGTGGCCAGAAACAAAATAAATGCTAAGGACAATCTGACACACATTTTGTTGATTGATGTGTGTGTCTGTTGTATTTATATTTGGCACCTGCTGCAATGCCTGGTAGTTTATAGGGCACTGGACCTGGCATGAGAGAGAACACACACACACACACACACACACATACACCTCATTTCTAAACCTTAACTGTAGGCTTAACTAAAAACTGTAATCCTAAATAAATTTTCAATGGAAAAATTAGCAGGGATTTTTTCCAGAGCTCTGTTTTTTTTACTAGTGTCCATAAACAAGTTACAACTCTCACCAAACAGGTAGCAGGCCGATGAACAACAAAGGCAGTCCCACAGCAGTAATGACACCCAAGAAACCTCACCCTTACACTACTTTCCCACCTGGCATATAGGCTACACCTGTGGTTTCTACCAGCACCATCATCAAGTCAAGGGCACATAGGTACTCCCACAACAACTGTAAAATATATTTACAATTTAACCTTACCAATATTTCTAAAATACTAATGATTATGTTGCCTAATACAGATGATATTTAACTTCCTGCACTAGTCTGGTTTACAGTCCACTACTCCACTACCTTAAAAATACATTCAAAACAGAATGATGACAGACTGAAATATATAGAAAATCTTAGCAGACTATTTGCGGTAAAGTTTATGCTTACGTCTATGGAGAGCTGTGTGAAGTGTTTTGAATGTGGGTTAGAACTGTAATCTGAGTGTAAAGCAGGAAATGTGCTTGTATTTTAGCAGAATTGGCTCAGGGGGTTGGTACAAGATTTACAGGTTGTGGTTATTGTGTCTCAGTACCAGTGTTACAGGGTTTTCAAAGCGTGCAGTGTCACTCATATCACACTGACATAAAAAACAACAACACTAACAATGGGGAGCATTACACATAAATGATGCATTTGTATGTTTGAGTATTTTATTATAGAAAAAGAAAAATTCATTTTCACTGTATTGACTATGTAAAAAGAAAAAAACAGAAATGCAGACATTTGCTTCAATATTCTGTACAGCATTTTTTTCATTGCATTTAGTAAATGACTCGAAATACAAAAAGTTGAAAATAAAAACTAATTTCGGAAATTTCAGTGCAGCAGTTTTTTTCACTTGTTTCCACAGTAACACTGGCACTGAGACACAATGACCACAACCTGTAAAATATGTACCAACCTCCTGAGCCAATTCTGCTAAAATACAGTCACATTTCCTGCTTTACACTCATCAGCTTGCAATTCTAGCCCACATTCAAAACACTTCACACAGCTCTCTACGCACATAGACGTAAACTATGCAAACATAAACTTTACTTTAAATATTCTGCTAAGATTTTCTGTATCTTTCAGTCTGGTAACTTCAGAAATGCAGGACATTTAAGCCTACCATCATTCTGTTTTGAATGTGTTTTTAACAGTTTTGGACACAGTGTGTTAGAATTTGAAAAATTAGCTTCAGATATATAGTGTTTTGCAGGTGGTGAAGTAATGAGAAAAGAGTTCACAGATTTTGGAGAAAGTAATCATTGAATTAATGTTGAAAAATATTGAAAAATATGAAAAATATTTCACAGTGATTTTGACAATGTGACTTTTTGTGTGAGTTTTGACCAATGCATGTTAGCAACTGAAAAAACTTTAGTAAATAGTATTGTAAATTACTATAGGCATGATATAGAAAAAATAAAGGCTTTAGAAGCAAATTTCTGCATTTCATCTTTGTTACATTAAACTTTGGTACAGTCAGTACAGTGAAAATATGCTCTTCTTCTATAATGAAATACTGATTTATGTGACAAATCATTCAAACTTCAAAGATACAAATACATCAGTTATGTGTAATGATACCTGTTGTTTGTGTTTCGTAGGTTAGTGTCTCATGTACGCTTTCTGAGAGAGAATTGTTGCCAGTGTTTGGCTAAACAAGTTTATGTTGAGACACGATGAAGTGTTTTGGTGTTTTTGAGTGAGTTTTGGAGGTGAGATTAACTGTTTGGCCAAGATGCATGTTGGTAATGCAGACTGTTTGAAGAGTTTTGAAAAAGTGGCTGTAAGACACTATTCATTTGTATTGAAGTGTTTTTTGTACTAATGGGTAATATTTTATCCATGTACTTTGTGTATACTTAATCTTTTAGAAAACTATTGATAAACATTCAATACGCTATAAATACATGTTTAATAAAACCTGTAAATATACATGAAATAGTATTTTGAGTATGCTTGAGTTAGAGTTCAAGTTAAGTACAAAACTTGTACTTAAATACAATCAGGTAAAAATCTACGTTTTCTCAAAAAAGTGTAATCAAGTGCAGTTAGAGGAATAGTTTGACACTGCTTATTCGCTTTCTTGCCTAGAGTGAGAACAATACCACTCTCATGTTTGTCCACTACTAAAGGAGATCACTGCTCCAGGCCAAGAAATAGCCCGGCACATAACACCGCCTTAACGCTGCAACTTTTGAACAGATACAGCATGTCAATGAGTTTTAAGCGACATCCACACTGGAGCTGCTACTAAGCGGATTTTGTTACCTTTGGAGAGGGCCAGGCTAGCTGTTTCCCCTGTTTCGTGTCTTTATGCTAAGCTAAGTGTCTGTGGGCTTTAGCTTCATATTTATCATACAGACATGAGAGTGGTTTCGCTCTTCTCATCTTCCTCTCGGGAAAAAAAAAAGTATTTTTCCCAAAGTCAAAGTCAAACTTCAAGCATAGTCAAGAATATTTTAAGTAAGTACTATTTACAAATCTTTAATACACTAAGTACAAAATTATAATGTTGAATATAGAACAGTTTATGTACATAAATCAAAGCATACTTTGGAGTTTAACACTGTAATTAAACACTATATATATTTTTTATAAACACAACACAAGTTCTTGTAGCATCCATTTATCTCAGACCTAAACCTAATCCTAACTCTACAACTAAACTGAAGCCCAAACCCTAAACTAACCCTCACAAAAGCAAGGGCCAGGGAGTATCTTAAGTTTACATCATCGGGAGGAGATCTGGTCCTGTATTGCAATAAAAGAACAAACACACACCCAGTCAGAGGCCCCTAATGAGGCCTGTCCCTGATAATGGAGGTAATCAGTGCAGCCTATCTGGCCTCTGCCCCTGCTGACATGCTGCCATGCCTTGTTTTGGTTTATTTATACACGCCTGATCTATCAGCACCAGCTCTATGTTTGGTGGGCCACAGCATCCCAAAATAGAAATAATTAGGACAGGGCGGGAAAAGAGGAAAAGTGAAAACGTGTCTGAATGCGCATATGCTGACCCCCACCCGCCCCATCCCCTGCCAATCTCTCCATCCGTCCCTGCTACACTGTCTCTGTTTTGCTTTGCATAGACAGAGGCTGCAGGCTGGCAGAGGAGGGGTGGGGACTGTTGTGTGTGGTCTGGATTGGGTGGAAATCCGCCGATGAAGTCGGGCGAAGCAGAGTGATCTAGTTTTCCAGATTACCACACACACTGGGGTCCTGATACGATCTCTGAACTCTGTGTCTCTGTGTGTCTCTTTCAAACCCCAAACACAGTGAATCAGTGCAGATCTGAATCGTGCATTCATTGATTAGTTCATTGGCTTCCATTTCCACTGTCAATTAATGGTTTGGATTTATCTTTTGTATTGTTTAAGTATAAATTCTAAATAGTTGCTTGCTTTCCTTAGTTTCATGGTTTTTATGGTTATTAAGTAGTTTAAATACTTACTTAATACACTTCTGGGTCTGATTTGATGGCATCTGTCATTATTTTGTACATTTAATAGATTAGTTAATCAAAAAAGCTTACTTATTGCTAAATCATAATGACAGATAGGGTTGGGCAATGATTACAGATCATTGCAAATCAATTTTAATGGAAGTGCACTGTGTCAAGTATTTTTTTGTTTATTACTGAGCCCTAAACAATTGTTTTCTGCCAGTGTATTTGTGGCATCAGCATCTTGAAAGACAACAGAATAAAGTAACTTTCTGCCAGTGGTGGGCAGTAACTACGTACATTTACTCAAGTACTGTACTCAAGTACAAATTACAGGTATTTGTACTTTACTTGAGTATTTTCTTTTCATGCCACTTTCTACTTCTACTCCACTACATCTAAAAGGGAAATATTGTACTTTTTAATTTACTACATTCATATGGCAGCTTCAGTTACTAGTTACTTTACAGAGGGAGATTTTTACGGTCAAAACACATGAAGAGCTTAAAAAATATGATGCTTTGTAATAAATTAACAGCAGTTAACTCAACACTTTATAAAAGTAGAGCCGGTACATTTCTTGATTGACAGACATTTAATTGGCAACTATTTTGATAATCGTTCAAAAACATTTCATGGTTGCAGCTTCACAAATGTGAACATTTGCTTCTTTTCCTTTTGATTATTCAAATGGTTTTTTAAATCATTTTGAGGTTTAGACTGACAAAAAAAGCATTGTGAAGGTGTCACTTTGGGCTCTGGGCAATTGTGAAAACATGTTTCACTATTTGGAGAATTTATACTATCGATCGAATCAATAGAGAAAATAATCAGCAGATTAATCCATAACGAAATTTTTATTAATTGCAGTCTGATACAAAATAGTTGAACCTCAAACAACTACAACAGTAAAATCCTGCTTTTACATTAATGCATGAGTAACAATAATCTAATGATATAATATATAATAGTACAACAGTGGACATTATTATTCTGCATTGAATACTTTTACTGTTTTTTTCCTGATTATACTTACTTACTTTTAGTTATATTTTCAATGTGGTACTTTTACTCGTAGCAGTATTTTTACAGCGAGGTATTAGTAAACAATCTGAATACCTCATTAACCACTACTTTCTGCACTAGAATCATGAAAAGTGACAAACAGGATTTCTTTCTGCACCGGCTAGCCTACATGTTGCAGTTATCTCACAGCACTGGCTGAGTTTGTCTTTTCTCTTGACTTATGAGACTTTATGAAAATTTTACTATGTTGTGCTGTTTACCTTTATGATTCTAAGCAAACTGTAGGCCAAATTAAAACTAAGCAAAATTAGTTATTAAGGTCTTTGTTTTTAGATGTGTTACAAGGTTTTCATGGAACACAGTTTGATAATATGATAATACACAATGCATAAAAATAAAATCAGTATTATTACATTATTGAGCCTGAAAAGTCCTTAATTCTTAAAACAACAACAAAATCTGCCAGTGTTGTAAGATTAGTACTAAGATCAATAAAAGAAAAGGTTTGAGTGTCTGTGTCTTAAAAACAGAATAAGGCAACTTATTATATAGCAACACCTTTAGGACTCAACGATAAACAAAACATTTTGGCAGTGTTTTCTAAAATTGTTAAACATTTAATATGTTAAAAGTTACAATTATTTTACAGAACAAGAAGATATTTATCCTTGTTTTGTTGAAATAAGACCTTTGGGACTCAGTATAGACAACTTTTACTTAATAAGATGGTTACTGTATGTGTCATTGCTTTACAAAATTCTCTCCAAATAAACGATTAAATGCAAGTACACTTAGGTTAGGTTTGTGTTTTACATGGATGAAGATATGTATCTTATGTATCAGAACAGTAGAATTTGTGCACCCATTTAGCATATCATGAAACATACCAGTATTAGTAAAAAATCTTATTATCATGATATTGATTTCAGGCATTTTGCCCAGAACAGTTGCGTCTATCCCTTTATCGAGAGCTGAAACCAGCCTGAGGATCATTTAGCCTGTAAACAGCAGTCCTCAACATCCCCAACAATGACCTTATCTCGCTCCCATCTTCTCCTCACATCGCCTGCAGGGAAAATGGAAGAGGGCGTGTGGGTGGGACGATGTGTATGTGATCATGTATGCACGTGTGTCGAGGCATGTTGTCAGCACTTCAGATCTCTATCTCCATCAGAGCGGCTGCAGAGGTTTGACACTAATGATGACAATGCCAGGCGGCAGGGCGGCAGATGTAATTGGCATGTCTGAAGTCACATAGTCACACAAGCTCCCTTAGCCTAAACAAGCCCTCGATGCCAGCCCCATAATATAAACCCACCCTAGATGCACGGCTACAAATACCCTGCACGCTGGCTCGACAGCTCAGAAGACACAGAGCTGCGACCATCGCCATCAGCCCCAAGGACAGAAACCAGAAGAGAAACCAGAAGATTTAAGGTAAGCATGTGGTTTCTTTTCAAATCCATCTTCTTGTGTGTTGATGTCACTGACTCTGGCTGTCTTGCTCTGCCCAGATGCTTTGCTCCAGGTTTGTGCTACCTGTCCTGGCAGTGTACCTGTTGCTGGAGGAGATATCTGCTGCTGTTTTGCCAAGCAGATTCAGAAACAAAAGGGTAGGCCTTTACACACAACATCCATGTCCCCTGTCGGACAAATCAAATACCTTCAGGCACGTAATCCTCTGCAGTCTATTTGTCTTTTTTGATAATCTGATTATTGTCCTCAGGAAGTCAACTGGCAGGACCGAGAGCTCTTCCCCCGCCCGCCTGATCGCTTAGATCAGGGGGACCTCTCCGTGGGCGAAGCTGAGACTTTCCTCGTCCCAACAGAGCACTTTCCTCTTCAATACCGGAACCAGAACCAGAACCAGAACCAGTACCAGTATCAGCGTAAAGCCAATGAAAAGAGGTGGGGACAAAATAAGCCTTATCACAGTTTCAATGGCTTTTATAAAATCAGTGAGGATGACAAAATGTGATTTGATGGTAAATGGAAATGTCATAATATAAATAACTTCAGCCATCATCGAAATCAGTGTAATTAAATCTGAAATTCTTTTTTTGATCTATAGTGACAAATGTGTAGATATTTCTGAATCATGTTTTCTGTCATTACAAATACATTTTAAACATAATCTAACTTTAAGACGTCTTGGCTGTTGTTGCTTTTGTGCTTTTTAAATCAAATGAGTTTAAAGTTTTTTTAAGAGCTGAATGATTTTGAAAAAATATCTAATTACGATTTTTTTGACCGATATTGCAATACGATTTGTGATATTACGGGAAATTATCAGTTTTACATAATTATTTTCATTTTCATTGAAAAAACATATTTCAGTGATTATGGTGAGACTTTTCCAAGGATCCGTATCAAACAAAGATGTGTGATCTGTGTAGTCTGTAGAATATGATGTGTAGGCCAGGGCATCTCTGCAGCATGACAAACTCTAATTTAAAATGGTATTTTGACACACTTTTCACATTCAACAAATATTGCACCTCCGATTAATTGTTCAGCACAAGTTTGTTTTAGGAATGCGTGGTGCCGAGATAAAGAGTATGAATAAAAAGTATAAATTATAGTCATGGCACAATGAAGTGTTTTGGCCTGAGCTTGTCTTCCTTTTGCTGCTGTGTCTACAGAAGGAAGGTGGCGCCACTGGACTCTATTGGCGGCTTTCAAATGTCCACTTTCCGAACCCGAAAGGTGAGTGGTCTCTGTATTTCTTGAATACTCAAGTCACTTGTTTCCAATGCAAATCAGCCTGCATCACAATGCTATTTAAATGCCACCTGCTCTACTCACAATGTTTCTTCATATCTGGTGCAGACCTATATGACTCTGCTTTTGTCAGATTAAAACACTGAGCGTTTCTATGATTGTGTTACAGGATGAACCTGACCTCCACTGGGAAGAGTACAGGGACTAGAGACCAACTCCAATAACTGAGCTCACATTTTGTCTGCGCTTTTCCACATGTGAACCTTGTACAATATGTTCCATATTTATTCATGGACTGCTATTTAACGCGCTGCCTCACTAACAGGTGAGATGCCTGTCGACCCACTCCCTCTAGTGGTACAAGACACGAACATGACAAACACTGCTGTGTGCTAAAATAATAAATGTGACAAAACAACTGTTTCAAAGTATTTTTATGTGTCCTTTGAGTATAAAATAATCAAAAATACCACCAAACTTTATGTTCCCAAAGACTTTTATTTTTCAAGCTACGATTAAAGAAAACATCAGACTGCAGAAAATATAGATTTTGCTTGGGTATTTTCTCTCTTCACTTTCACATATGTACAGTTGTCAAAGAACAGAATATGTACACAGAATAGAAGTTGTAGAGAGAGTGCAACTGCTACTGGAGACTTACCAAGAAACTCCCACCAACAAAAGAAAAAAAACAAACAAAAAAAAAAAAGCACATGGTAAAACCAAACATAAACAAATGCCACAACCTAGGCAGCGTCAACTTATTTTCTGTACACTACAACTTTGTTCTCGATGTGAGACAATCTTATGTCCATTCTCTGATGCGGGCGCATCCCTAATCCCGCTTCTCAGAAAGCTAAGAAATAAACATATCACATGAAAACAGAAAAAAAAACTAATATTTTACAACCATTCATAAAACGAGCCTCAGAGCCACTTTGACATAGTAAAGCACTGCCAAACCATTCGTCTATCGGCAACATTAACCCCTCATATCAGATGAGTTTTTAACATGAAACAAAAACAACCCCACATGAAACGAAAACATAAAAATTTAACAGCTTTCAATGTAAATGTTGTTCATGGTAAATGGCTATCAATGATTGATTAGCAAGCCAGACAGGGAGAAACATTAAGCGCTCATTCATGAACGTACGCAGCTACATGCCAAGTACAGATTTAATTAGCCGGAGCTCCTCGTATTCCAGATACCACCCATATATGCAGCTGAAATGGTATTTGGATCTATATTTTAAAAAGTGCACTGGCAAAGGAATTGTCTGTGTGCAATTTGAAATGTAGAAATTTAGATGCAAAACAGTAAATGTTCTCAGATTGTATGAATTCAAAGATCACTTATTCTAGTAGGAGTGAGAGCTCTACATTTTAAAGTTCAGTGATCATCACTGACAACCCAAAACTAAAATGCAAACTCAGAAACGACTCGCCAAAATATGATCAGAACTAATACGAGCTGCCCACCTAGCATTATGACACACTTCTAAACAAATAACAGGAGTGACATTTTGCATCCCTTCAGCTATAAATGTTATGAATGTGTAAAACTAATGGAAATTTTTCACTCATTTGTTGATATCCTCAAGAAATCATTTATGTCAAAATGTCTTCCCAGTTAATATGAGTACACGTGAAAATATGTGTGCACATCACCAGCACAGTATACAACAATAAAGCCAATTAATGAAGGAATTAATTAGTAACAAATAAATGATTCTCCACTGTCACTTCTGTCCAGTTCTTCACAGTAGCCAAAGACAAAACAAAAAGTAAGAAAGAACAAAAAAAAAGTGAGGGATAAATAAGAATGGTTGTGATTGTCAAAAGAAATCCTACAAAAGTGACAATACAGTTGCCATCCAGGTGATAATTCAGGCTGTTTTGGCTGTAGGCATCAAAGAAAACAAGTGTCAAGAGGACAGCAAAACAGGGTGGGTGCTGCTCGTCCCCTCCCATCCTCTCTAGGGGTCTTTTTTGTGTCCTGACCGCCGCACGTCCCTGCACTTGTGGCAGTAAAAGATGTCGGGAACGTTAGACTTCTTGATCTTCGCACACGACAAGTGCACCCATATGCCGCACTGGTTGCACTCGATCATTGGCCGCCCTGCAAATGGCTTCCCGCAGTAACAGGTGATCAAGTCCCACGAGTCATCCCCTATGATGAGAAAGAGAACAGAGTTAAAAGGATATTACAGCTGATTAAAAAGTCGACAATCTGTACATTTAGAGAATCATTACCAGAATTAGACAGTCTGGTGTTAAAACATTTTCTTATTAGATACAGACAGATCATCTTAACAAATGGAAGTTACTTTGAAGGACAAACGCATAATGTCATACCCGACTCCACCATAATGTCTTCATCGGCGATCCAGGTCTCCCCCTCACTGGAGCTCATCTCCGCTTCCCTGATGGAGTCGTCTGGCTGCATCTTCTCCAGGTCCTGCGTGCTTGGGGTGGAGCCCCCATGCGCCGCCAGCTCCTCTCTGAGGGGTCGTACCTCTGTATGTGTATGCCGTGCCTCAGAGTCTGTCTCGCTTTGAGCAGTCGAACTTTTGAGCTTCTTAGCTTTGGGCGGTTTTGAGTTTTTGCTGCGCTTAATCCGGGCTCTTTTCTCGCCTTCACTGCTGCCACTATCTGCCGCCGTCATGGCAGAACCCAGTGACAACTTTTTCAGTTTTTTGTCTTTCTTGCGCTCTGCCTTAGAGCTGGCCTGGCTGTCATACAGGGAGTCTTTAAGGCGCATCTTGTCCAGCAAACTGCTATCAGAGTGCATGCGGCGAATAGTTTTGCCCTTATTTGCTCGAGCTTTACGGACAAACGTATGGATGGTGTGAATGTCGGAGCTTCCATCTGCCCAAGTATTGCCCGTGGAGCTGCTACCTCCACCACCAACATCTGCCGACAACCCTGAACTGTGTGCAGAGCTGGATGATGTTGGGGACCACGAACTTTCCTACAAGACAACAAGAAGAAAAAAACATTTTGGTATTGCTTCACAACTGGAGGGAGGCAGGCAATGACAGTCATTTCTAATAACTGTGACATTCATAGCAGCTTACCTCTTTTGGACTGGGGATGTAGCCAGCATAGGCCAGGACAAAGCTGCAGAACTTGTTGAAGTCCTCAACAGTCCTCTTTTTCCTCTCTGTGGGCTATAGAAAGCACACACACCTTTGTTTAAGAAAGTGAATCTAATCTGAACAAGCTCCAACAACTCAAAAAAAAAGGTACATAATAAACTACTCAAAGTAACATTTAAAAGTACTCACCAGAGGTTCAGTTTTGCACGTTAACAGTGAATCTGGTGGAGATAAAAAAAAAAAACCACAAGTATGTAAGTTACAAGTGAAGCAGTACTGACTCTTATTTTCACAGAAACATCTTATATACAGAATAACCAAGCACACAGTTGCCTGAGGGTGTGATGCCACACATGTGGACTAACGCTAGCATTAGCTTGCTAATACGGCTCAATAACTTAATCAGGGTTATTAGTGATGAGCACGTTGAGCTTATTTAGGAACCGTGCTTGTTTAGACACGTTAAATTGACCGACGGAGTTTACGGATGACCGTTTGAGCGGAACGTTATCAAGTCAGTTATCGGCTGTTAACGTTGGTTGGCTGCAAACAACCGCAACCGGTGTCACAATCTCAACTTCACACAAAGTCTGGATATTTCGGCATCAGCCACGATTAAATGTTAAATCTATTCGACGTAAAAACAAATGACGTTACGTTAGTTGATTTTTGGGAAAGCGAAGCTAAAAAGCTCAGATTGTTGGCTGCCAAGCTTTAAACCTGTCATTTTGTATTGTCCTGATGCTACATGCTAACGTTAGCTGAGATTCAGGTTGGAGGAAAAGCTAGCACAACACGCTAACTTTATGCCGTTTGCAGCAATAACGGCAAAGACGGCTTCGACTTGTGAATGTTTTTAAGGTCCGATATGTTTATCGAGTTGTATTTAAACTTGACATTGCTCACGGCCATTACTGATTTTTATAAGTCAACTTGTGCTAACAATTAGCCACTTGGTCAGCTAGCCAATCGCGCTAGCGCTCTTGAACTCGTAGTTAGCTTGGCGTTAGCAAGGTGTAACGTTTAATCGGCCGTGTTGTCAGCGCTGGAGTTTGAGCCTGTGTTAAAAAATAGTATTTTTCGTGGCTAACAAGTGAGCTAATTTAACTTAAAAATCGACCAATTAGGGTGTGTGTTTCAGTTAGATTGTAGGGTAACGTTAGCTATCCAGCTATTAACGTTAAGCTAGACGGATCGGCGCGTTAACCAACAAGCTAACTTAACTGTGCAAGGAAACCGTTAACACTGTTAGCTACGTAAATCGTAACAGAACATAAGATATTCACTTTAACACAACTTTCATGGCGTTTTGACCACAAAACACAAGCTGGTCAAGGGAAAGTCGTGTTATTAATAACGTACAGCTTACGCAATCAAACATAACGTTTGGCATAACTTACGTAGGGTTAAGTTAGCCATCTAACGTTATGTCCGCAAAACACGACAGATTTAAACACTAGACAGATTCACATCACACGAGGGACAGTTTGTTTAATGTTTCTGCACTGATGCTGGTGAAACGTACCTTGGTGCTCAGACATTATGTCAAGCATTGTCGCCTCACCGACAAGGCCTCGATCCAAGAACCAGAAGCAGCAGCCGAGCTAGCCGGAGAGTAGCGGCCGTCGCGCTGCGCCTTCCACCGGCGTGGCTGCACCGTTCCGCCGGGCAACTTTAGCAGCAGCAAGCCGATGGCGCGGAACACCGAAGACACTAAAAACACTGTACTGTAGGCCGAATTTGTGATATGTCCTCGCTGGGGGGATCCGTTACAACAGCTAAGGTTAGCGTAGTGTCGCCACACTAACGTTATTAGCCTGACAAAATACTAATTCCTCTGTCGTTTAACGTCCTGCACTTATAGCTCCTTTTTCTTCGCCATTGCATTTATAACAATCGGTACTGAAATGTGGAACAACGGTTAAAAACTCCTTAGCTAAACGCGAGTGCTAGTGAACGTAGGTCCATAATGAGAACTTCTCCGATTAAGTTTTGTCGTTCTTCGCTGTATGCACACAAAACGACCGGAGTTTTGACTTTATTCCGCACGGTCTTCTCCGTGCGCGGCAGAAACCTCTTGAGGCTGCCAGCGCAGTGTTTCCTGTGGTGCATGCTGGGTAACGTAGTTCGCGCAGTCGTTCACCCCCCTAACACAAGCACGGGTATGTAAATGTTGTCGAACTACATCCCCCACATATGAACAACAGCACAAGGAAGGGAACTCTGGGATGTGACGTTTTTTAAGGTACAATCTAAACAGGCTTCTCGTAGCTATTAGCGAAACATGCTGGACTCGGATTGAGCAGAACAAGCTTTATATTTATTTTCAGGTGTCGCCATTCTGAACTTTGATGGGTGTTGTTCTTCTGCCGTTAAATTACCGAGTTGTCCGGGTTTTTTTAATTATATACGTTTAAATAGGGGGTTTAATCAGAAGCATGCTAACTAGCTGAAGCTACCTTGTACAATTTCCTTTTATATATTAGTACCATGTTGACTGAGTTATTGCAAGGCACTGATGCTGGTTTTTTTTGATAATTCAAGGTAAATGCCTGAAAGTCAACACTGCGAACGATAACGTAAAACTGCTATGTGAAACTAAGCAAAAACACACAGTAAAGTCATGTAATTTATACTTTCATTGGTAGATACTGCTAGTTGTTCTGGTCGACACCTCCTGAAGAGCTTCATCAATGCTGTGTTGAACAGGTATCTATAACAAATGCATTATGACGATTGTTTAGTTATGTATGTGCTGTAACTTGTGAATGTTTCTAAATTATGTATGTAACCTGTCTGGACTGTTATTAATGTAGGGAGGAAGCTGTCCATGTCCTTGGCTTTGAAGTTAGTGAGGAAGAGCTGAAAGATGGGTTGAAAGGATCACCCATTCAGAGGTAACTAACTAAGATTAGTGCTGAAGAGATTAGTCCGTCAGCAGAACATTAATAGCCACTTACTTTGAGACTTGTTTATAGTCATTTATTAAGTAAAATGCAAGAATCACAGGTTCCATTTTAAGTGTGAGCATGTTTTGCTTTTTGTCTGTTTTAAATCTTTGTAAATTGAATTTTAAACTATTGATCAAACACAATAAGACGTTTGAATACAGCATCTTGAATTATTTGAACTGATGATGGGCATCAGTTCTCATCATTTTCTGATATTTTATAGACTAAATGATTGGAAAAAAATAATCAGTAGATTACTCGGTAATGAAAAGTATAGTTTCCTGCAGCCCCTTTTTTATTAGGCATCTTAATTAACCTGTAACCAAACTTTTTGTCACTTCAGGCTACACTTTCACAATGCTTATACAAACCCCCTTGGCTGGACCGATCACCCAGCTTTCAAAGTTCACCAGTTCTGTTTGGTGGAACTTGCACATCTGGTCAAGCAAACATCTCACCCCAAACCACCTACCTTAGTGATCGACTCCCTTTCATGGATTTTGAGACACCTCAGTCCACCCGCTGTCTGCAAGACTCTTCAACAACTTAGAAAAGGTGATAAATTATCTACTTAATGTCTGTGTGTCAGTGCAATGTCACAGGTTTTTTGTAGTGAATGAAGCTGTGATATCCAGGCTGTAGGTGTAATTGTAAAACATTTGTCTTTAATGATCTTTTAATAGAAATTTAACAGAAATATTTATTAAAAGCGTATCTAAGCATGGTCAAACAAGGAGTAAAGTGGAACTTTAAGACCACACAGTAATTCCACCATTTAAGGGTCTCTCTCTGTGTTTTTCATTAGGGGGAGCTGTGAGAGCTGTTATTGGTCTGCTGCATGCTGATATGCATCAGAGGGGTACTGTGGGAAGTGTGTGCCATTTGGCTACTTCTGTCATCACTGTAGCGCCTGGGATAAGGGGAGACGAAGCAGTGGCAAGGATAACAAAGCGGTCAAAATCGGGGAAAGTTATGCAAGATGTAAGCAATTCTTCCTTTTGGATGACTATTTTGTGTTCCTACACTATTTCGAAAAATATTGATAACTTGTTTTTGCTTTTTTGTCCTCAGGAGGAGGTTTTCAGCATCAAAGAGGATCTTAAAGTCATAGTACAGGGCAAACCCAGCCAACTTGGACCTAAACAGACTGACCCTGAAGAACAGGAGGTGCAAAATAACACCTTCCTACCATATGCAGATAAATAGGATAAAGATAGTGCTCAGATATGACTGTTAAGTGTCCTTTTTGTGTTTCTGTAGACGGACCCTACAGCCAACTTGACCTTCAACCTTCGACTATCTGATACAGAGCGCGAGGCCAAGCAGAAGCTTGCACTTCCTTTTGTCTTCAGCAAAGAGAAGTGAGACACTTTTCCGCAATCGTTATATTATTCAGTTATTACGTTTCATATTCTGTTATTTTCCTTAAATTACTTTTTTTTCAAACAACCAAAAAACGCTGCGCCCTTTTCCTTTCACAGGAAAACGGCTCTGCTCCACTCAGGCCCAGGTTCAGGACGAATTCTTTATGAGCCTGATGCCAACGACGACTATGACCAGGAGGACCCTGATGATGATCTGGATGTGTAGGACATAAAACCCACTGAATGATGATGATGTTTCATGTCTTCATTGCCATTAAAAGACACTTGAGTTGATTTCAGTAGTGCAGATTCAAAGCCATACCACCAGCTCATGGAGCCTTGAAGATATAAAATAATACTTAATAATACAATATGTCTATAAAAAATATGTATTGCTTATTAAATTGTTTAATCTAAGAGTGTTTACTAATATTATTGATTAACTTAATTTTTCTTAAATTTCACTTGTTTTCTTATTGAATACATTTGTTTTTTAAGTTTTGTACCATGTTGGTTTTTCATAAAAATTTAATGTTGAACATATAGTGTACAATTAGTCATCCAACGGACTCTTTGACATAATTTAGTGCAGTGGTTCTCAATAAAACTAAATATGGGGGTGGTTCAAAAGAGGATTTAAGTGACTAAAGAAAAACACATTGTGTTGTATAATTATATTTTGCTAATTCCTTGTAAAATACTGGATACTTCTTCCTTTCTTTTCCAGAGCCTCTAAAATCCTACAGTACAAAAGATAGAATCCAAGAGGGCAACAGTAATGCTCACAACCATCCATATCACAGCCCTAAAATGTGATCAGGGTCACAAGTAAATGTGTCATTGCCAAACATAATCACTAAAGTTTATTCAGACCTCTATACATGAAGTGGAAGTAATATTTAAGAGATCAATTACTATGATTGCAGACTTTACTTAATGATTTTCATGTTGACCATTTGGATTCTGTAAAGCCCAGGTCTATTTGCACCAAATGATAATTAATTTACAGTAAATAATTTTAAATAACATCACTTAATCGATAGTCCTATTTGCTTGGCAGTGTGAGAGGGGATTGTGGATTAGTTTTAAGTAATTAGGTGTAGTAAAACTTATTCTGGGTTATCTGGCAAAGGTGTCTGCTGACCAACTGTAAAAGCTGCCCTTCCAAATATATGAGTAGTGTCTATAAAAAGTACTCACCAATGCTCAGTGAATTTTTCAAGTACTGTTTTACAGCTTCGAATCACAGCTGGCATAATGAGGTTTATTGACACCAATCAAGCCTCTGTCAAAATGAAAGTAAAACTTTACGGATGAACACTGTTCGTGTCAAACAGCACCACAGCCGCCAAGAGGAAAAGCTGAAAAATACATTAAAACTGGTAACAAACTTGTTTAACCTCAACAGACTTTAATCAGGCCCTCGCTCGTTCACGTCTGTTTATTTTCTTTCCACGTGGACGTGCTGCGCGTAACCACAGGAGTCCTCGCGGAAGTGACGGAAAGGCGGCGATGGCGGCTCGCAGTTTCATTCCGGATTTGCACTGGACTACAAACTGATTTTAACCGGACCGGTCACACTTTGGGGAACTTTTGTGAAGCTGTCTCTCGTCGGACGCCGCACAGAGTGAAGTCGCACTGCATCGGCACTTGACAACGAGCGGCCCCACAGCTTTTTGGGGGGTACTTTTGTCCTGGGTTCAAGGTGGTCACCCTGTCGAGCTAACGTTAGCTTGGTGGCTAGCAGCTAACGTTACTGGGTACACAGCTAGCACCTGAGCTAGCTTGTCAACGAGCTGCGTGCTAAGGTCCATACAGCAGCAGCACCTTGTCGTCTGACCACGTCTTGTCTTTCAGACTTACAATGAAAATATCCTCTGTTTAACGCTAATTGTGCCACAAGTGTGCAGAGCGAGGTCCTCACACACGTTTGCGTGGCCCTATTTTGAATTGCTAGTTTGGCGGCTGTGGCTAAAGACGGATTTTGACTTTAGATTCATCACTAGCCCTAGCAGGTTCCTTGCCAGTAATTGTCCCGACAACTTCGGGCAAAAGGCGTGCTATCAGCTGAGAATTGAAGTTGCTGTGGGGGTCTTTGCGTGCTCGTCAACATGCTGAAGACCCGGCAGTGTTTACTTGGCATCCGCACTTTTCTCGGCGTAACGTCGAGAATATGGGGCTTCATCATGTACATCCTCAGGAAGCACCTACGAACGGTGAGAAGGGATTTGAAAGATGTGTGGCACTTGAGCATGTCGTGTTTCTGTGACAAGTGAGCAAAGTATTTACCTTTCCATGGTTCTCATGTGCCAGAGCACAGGTCAAACCCGCTTTATACAGTCTACGGCCAAACCACGTCCACCTGGAGATGCTCAGTTGGCTCCTTCCTCACCCGTGCTGTACATTTCTGTCTCACTATGTGCATCCATCAGGACGATTATTATGTGTGAACAAATCCCACTGTCTTAGTTGCCTCAACATCCCATATAGGCTCTATAACGTCAGTGTTCAATGTACTGCTATATCATCCAGCATGAAGATAGCCAGGAGTATCTAAAACTTAATTTTAAAGAGCATAAACACAGGTGCAAGATAATAAGTACATAAAGTGCTGCGCAGGATGTTTTAGTTCACCAAAGTATATGTACAACTAGTAACTTTTGAAATCTATGTTCAAACTAGTTGATTAACCGTTTAGACTATAAAATGTCAGAAAATAGTGAAAAGTGTCTGTCACGTTTTTAAATAGTTAATTTTGCCAAACTATAATTCCAAAATCAAAGGATATTAAAAAATGTATTGATTTAACAGTGATATAAAACAGAGAAACATTTGTGAATCTTTTGAGTGGCATTTTTCTCTTGATAAATGAATGATTTGACAATGATCAAAATTGTTGCAGATTAATTTTTGGTTGGTCAGAGATTATGCTAGTTGTTTCGGCTCTTAAACATTGTATCTAGGTGTCTGTTTCTGTCTGATGAGATAGTGTGAATGAATGGCTCATTCAGCTCCAGTGCGAAGAGGAAACCTCCCACATCCAAACACCTAAATTTGAGGAGCAGCCAGTGCAAGCCTGCAGGTCACCTTCAATTGCTTACAAATGCCTCCACAATAAACACGGCATTTAGCGTGGCAGAAGCCGCCTGCCTGGAACTCGGACACACACAGGTGTTGTTGAGGCGTTAATAGACGTGCATATGTGGTGTAACATGAGTGGACTTCGACTCTGGCTCTGTGTCAATCAGAATCGGCTTTTTTTTTTGCCAGGTATGTATACACATACGAGGAACACGAGCCAACAAAGCTTGGAGAAGTGCCCTATGTGCTGTAATCATCTTGCTGTTCAAGGTTTGTCTGCAGTGTATTGTGCGGCAGTAACACTTGCAGGGTTGTCAACAGGCCCCGAGAGTGAGTAGTCCAGTCCATGTTGTGGCCTGAAGTGAGAGGGATTATGTCAGCACAGAGAGCGTACTGTTCTCTCTCTCTTTCCCTCCCTCTGTTTCTCTCATTCTCACTCACAGTTTAGCTCTGTTGTTTACTTTACGTGATGCACTGGAACAATGTCAGGATCCAGCGACAAGCAGTGTAACGTGGGTGATCCTATAGGTGGCAATTAAGTAAACCATGACCGGTGATTTGATGAAAAATACTTGAGGCTAGGATGGAAAGTCCTAATCCATTTATTACATTTAAAACAAGGGTATTAATATACATGAGTGTCCCAGTTTGTTGGGACTATAATAACCCCTTTTGTAAATCTAATAATCCCGTCGGAAGGTGTTTCTGTCTGAGAAGACCACAATGCATTAAGCGGCCTCATTCAAAAATTTGGATCAATAAGAGCTCTATTGGATTATAAATATTTTAGGACCAGGTCATAATCCCATGCATGCTGCTCTGTGTCAACAGATGATAAGATAGTTTATTAATCAACAACGTTGGGTAGAGGGTCCGCTTATTATCTCCTGCATGAGACTATGAAGGTGTGTAGCAGAGTGTGGAAACGTTTAACTAATCAACACAAAACTCCCAACTTTAAACCGTTGATAGTAGAACTGAAATAATTAGGTAGTCAACAGAAAATTAATCTAATCATTTATGTCATTTTTTTGAGCGAACAATGCCCCAAATTGTCTGGTTTCAGCTTGTCCTCTACAATAGTAAATGTAATATATTCGGGCTATGGGTCGGCTAAAACAAATCGTTTCAACACATAAGCTTGGGCTTGGTAACCAAATCATTTAACGATTAATTAAGAAAAAGTTCTCAGTTTATTTGTAGGTAGTACAATTTCCAGTATCCTGGTTACAGAGAGATACAAATGCAAGGGCTAGCTGCTTTTCTCCGTTACATATAATCACTAACTAGTTTTTTTGCTGTTGGTCAGGTTAACAGTGCAAGATGAATTGAAATGTTAGATGTAGCCCCCAGTCTGGAGTCAAAGGACTCAGTCTGAGTTTACAGGCCTTGGGTCCAGATGGACGCTCTTGGAGGTGCAGAGAGCTGAGTCAAGGGTGAGGTCCCCCTGTGGTGCCCAGCAGCTGCTGGCACCAATAGGCTTCCCCCTAGCTTCCTCTGCCAAGCGGCAGTGGGAGGGGACACAGAGGGATGTCCTGTCCAAGGCTTAGGTACTAAGCAGCCCAGGCTCAGCCAAAGTCACCCTGCAAGTCTCCCTTTCTGTGTGTGCCCCATACTCCGCTGACACCCGCCGACAGCTGGGGGGGGTAAAAATAGCCCTGAGAAGAGAAGTGAAGAGCCCCCGGGGGCGAGAGCAGCACTGGAAAGTATCCTCTCTGTAGTCGCACTGACCCAAGCAGAGCAAGGAAGTTAGAGCGGAGTCGTCCTGGGGTGGGCACAACTGAGTCCATTTCAGCACTGGGTCTTCTGTTCTCTGAGCCGATTTCCCAAGAAAGTGTTGTCTGAAAGCTCAAATATAAGTTTGAAAGTTTTAAGACCTTCATAGAGAGCCTAACATCAGATCTAAATCACCCTGATCTCAGACTGCAGCTATTAAGATGACATAAATCCACTTTCCTTTATGCCCCAAAGGACTCTGAAAACACTTAACACAGGTCTTCTGTGAGATATCACACGATGTTGTATCATTGGAAACGTGGACCAACACATTTTAAGAGTAGAAAATGGAAACATTGGAGCCTTCAGTGTATCAAATGTAGTCTTTTCATCTATAATAAAAACAACACATATTTGAAACTTATCCATGGTGCAGTTAGCTTATTAAGGCGCAGTGTATGTTTTGTTAACGGTCTGTTTTATTTGCAGATAATCCAGTATCAGACGGTGCGATACGACACTTTGCCTCTGTCACCTATTTCCAGAAACAGACTGAGTGAGTACACGATTTTCATGATATGACTGCTCAACAAAATGTTTGGGGCCCTTATTTAAGACTGTCAGGACTTGTAAACCTAGAAAAGTACACCTAATACTGCTCTTTGTTAATGCATGCTTTTGCCTGGGCACATTAGTTGTTGTTGTTGTTGTTGTTTTTTGTGTGATTCTAAGTAGAGCGGAGGTGGTTTTACAACATAGTTGTAATGTGGAAATTAAAGTAGAAGTTAAACCAGTCTGTCAAGAAAGAAGGGATTGTGATGAAAAAGCCTTCATAACACACCGGTACACCTTCCTCACCTCAGAGTAGAGATGAAACTGTATGACAATTTAATTTCACGATTATAGTGACAAAAATGATCAGTTATCAGTATTATTGCGGTATTGTTAAAATGTGCTGAAAAGTTAAAAAAGTACTGATATACACACTGAAACTATTTCAACAAGTTTTATATTAAAAACTACAAATAAAATTAGCAGCACTTTCTGTTTGCATTAATATAAAAATAGTAACGTAGCCAATACCTTTTTGTAAACTTATGAAAAATCAAATGTGCATAAAGATGTAAAGTATATGCAAAGACCCCATGCACATGTTTACATAATTACAAATGAGTCTAAAAAGAAGTGATAGCAATTGCAATGAGCCCAATAATTAGGACATACAGAGGAGTCTGCAGAGTTTCTCCTGTTTAAAACACTTTTTTACAATAAATTCGGCTGCCGGATTTTAAATGAACAAAACATGTTGGTTGGATGACTAAAGTACATACGTGTTATCATGTGCAATGGGCAAATAGAGTTTGCAGACACACAACACATACAGCGGCAGAACAACATGTAGTGTTTTCACAAGAGTAGGCTCACAAGAGCTTCAGTTTGCAAGCTGTTAACAAGTAAGACAAACTATCACATGTTCCCTCATTCTAGGGCTGAGCAATATGGACCAAATATATCTGAATTCCAATATGCTTTGTATGTATCGTATTTTCTACGAAGTGGGCTAAATATTCAATTGTACATTGAAGCCAAATTTGAATTCAGTTGACAGGCAACAGCTCTGGTGGACATTCCTGCAGTCAGCATGCCAATTGCGCGCTCCCTCAAAACATGCGACATCTGTGGCATTGTGCTGTGATGGAACTGCACATTTTTGAGTGGCCTTTTATTGTGGCCAGCCTAAGGCACATGGATGGATTATCTCTGTAAAGGAGAAGTGCTCACTAACACAGATTTTGACAGATATGTGAACAGTATTTGAGAGAAATAGGCCTTAGATTTTGAGTTCAGCTCATGTTAAATTGGGGCAAAAACAAAAATGTTGCGTTTATAATTTTGTTCAATGTATTTATTAAGTTGGATCAGATGGCTTGAGGCAACCCACTGTTAACCTTCTCAATTGTTTCAGTAAACCTGTTGTGTACGTTGGTCAGTTATTGTGTGCTCCTGTGACTTTATAATAGCCTACCAACAAAGAAAGCCAGCAACATTTATTTATGTAGCATCTTTCATAGCAATCAGTCAAGTACTATACAGTCAAAGAAATATAAAATGTAATAAAATAAACAAAGCTTAATAATAAACAAAATAAAAAGAGGAACAGACATAAGACACAAGTTAAAACATTAAATATCCCATGCTACCTAAATGCTTATCTGAACAGTAGCTGCTTTTGAGAGCGTCCACAGAGCCCAAAGACATATTCTTATCGGTAGACTCTCCCAAAGCTTGGGGGCTGCCGATTGGGAAGCACGATCTCTCAAGTTTTACAACCTGTCCGACGTACACTTAGAAAACCCTGTCCAGAGGACCGAAGAGCTCTGCTTGCGGTGTGTAGATTGCGGAGCCTGACCAGGTAGGGCTCTAATAAGTGAGCACCAAAATATTTAATGGATCTAAAATGAACAGGAAGCCAGTGCAGAAAGGTATAAATAGGTGTAATATGTCTGTCGGAACATGTTCAGTTATGACCTGGCAGTCCGCACCAAGATCCGAACCAAAGTTCATTTTTTGATACATTTGGTTAGTTTTGGTTTCACACTGCAATTCTGCAAGCGCACTAAAGAACTTTACTTGACAGACTTGCGTCCTGTAGTCATCTTCTATAGTTGACTTTGATTGATAGGTTTGTAAACAGTTCCGTGGGGAGCTTAGATGAGAATGAATGAATGAGGGATGAACAGTTGCATATTGTTGCCACTATATTATTATGGCATTACTACCTGCAGCACCAACTATACTCAAGGCTAGTTCAAATTCGCCAAATGAACGTCCTCATGTGAACATTGTCGCCGGCAAGAAATGAGAAGACAGCAAACAATCCTTCTGCACCTCCGTTTGAAGAGAGACCAACGAGATGAGTGGCAGTTTGCTTCCATAGCGGCCGTCAGTTTCAAAAGATGAGCTGTCACAGGAGATTCCTAATGGGTCCTTTTTTCAACGCATTTCTCTGTGCATTCGTTTGTATCCGGTTTACACAAGAATCGCTGAACTTCCTGTAAATAGACTAAAAGTTCAGACCATACAAAAAATGCTTTCACACTAGAAACAAACCATCAATTTGATCTGGACCGAGACCACCTGTTTTCGTCAGACCATATTATGTCTGTTTGGTCTGGACTGTTGTCGGGGGGGAGGTTTCACACCTGTAATTGTGGTCCAGATCAAACTGGAAAGACCGGACCAAACGAGGTAGGTGTGATAGCTGCCTTAGACAGTTTCTAAACGGTGTAAGGAAGCTTTATTAAGGCTTGTAAAAAGAGAGTTACGGTAGTCCAAACAGGATTGAGTCAGTGTCCTGATGTGAGATTCGAAACTCAAGATTGGTCAAAGCTCACACCAAGATAATGCAGACTAGACTGAGAAGATGAGGATACGGCACCATGGTTGTGCCTGATCGCTCAGTGAGGCTTATCAGGATCAGTAATACAGACTTCAGTTTTATCTGCATATAGCTGCAGACAGTTACCATTCAACAAAGACTGACTTTGCATGTGAGGCATTTGGCGGTCCCACAGCAGTACAGTGAGATGATATTCTTACATCAGTACAGTTGAAAGCTAAACAAGCAGAAAGTATATAAGAAGTGAATTTGCCAACAGTAGGCTTGAATTTCCCGTAGACGACATCACCATTTAAAAGGAAATGTCACGCCTGCTGCACAGCTGTAAATGTGTAGTGAGAAATGAGATCATTACGTGTCAATAGAGGAAAGGCAGACCCCCAAAAGCACAGCTTAATAATAATAATAATTAAATAATAATAATAAACATTCATGCTTTTTATTTAATAAGCTAAAGTAAAATACCAAGACTGTACCACCAATGCTGCATAATGTAAATAATCTTTACATGATAAATTACTCTGCACACCAGGCCTTTATTAATAAGGAGGCAAAATGTTTCTCAAGACCTGCAACGAGAATGCTAAGACTGCCTAATGTGGGTATAAAAGGTTAGCCACTGTGCTAAGGTAAACAGCCATTGTACCACAAAACAGTTTGGCATGGTGCCCAAAACAACCAAATAAATGTAGTTTCTTGCCCCGGGAGAGAAAATACAAAACGTTACAGGCAGTGTTTTTCACCAGCATGGACTGGTGTTTGCAGTATGAATGAGCTTCCCTTCTGCCCTTAGAGAGCTCATTGAAAAGCACACTCTTGACTTAGAGGAAGGATTGTATTTCAGTTCCCACTTCACTGGCCTCTCAGTCACTACAGCGACCTCGGCCGGAGATCCACGTGAATGAGTTGACATTTGTTTCGCAGTCAGTGGCTGGTATTTCTGCTGGCAATGACAATACTGTAGACAGAATTAAAGTAACTGTAACTCACACTGCTCTCTCATACCTAACAGAATTAGGTCAGCAGAAAAATATTTTAAGAGGTGGTTTCAAGAGCAGCCTTTTCTTGAACGCAGCATATTCTACTGCATATTATGGCGCCGCTATCTGGAAATGAAGTAGTCTGAGATGGCAGGATGGCACTAGACTTAGCTGAGAGACTGCTTCTGTGTTTTTAATGGTTTGTTATCATTGTTTTAATTAATGGACTCCCTGGAAAGCGGTATTGATACGGGGTGTTTTGTGTTTTTATATATATATATATATATATATATATATATAGTAATTTGACTTGAATTAGCTGTGGTGTGCCACAACAGCTGATTATGTTGTAAGAAATCCATCAAGTATGTTAATTACTCAGCCAGCCCCAAAAGACAAGAAATAGAGCATACCGTCATGAATCCAAATGGAGATTAGCTGAAAAATGGAATGGCTCCAGACATGGACCTTAATTACCCATCATCGTCATCCATGATAAATCAGTGAACCTTTTTCACTGCGTTATTTTCCAGGAATATCGCTGCACTGTATGAAAGGTACGGAGCCGGAAAGGGGGTTCCGGTTTGATCCGCATCTGAGCCGGGAACGTTGATAGTAACAGAGCATTGTCTGTGTAGAAAGCCACAGCCGACATGTCGCTGTTGTGTTACATGTAACGGTCTTTTTCTACGCCGCTGGTTCCAGAAAAACCGGACCGCTTTGTGAAAGCACACATGGTTGCAAGATTATGCCGCAAACGTTGGTTTAGTATTAATGAGCCAATGCGGTATATTGGCGGATATTCTTTGCATGTTTATTGAGGGCTCTATATGAAAACGGCTAGTATTACCGACGCCCCTTAGTTCTTCTAGTTAAAGCTTTCTCCTGAATACAAAAATGTAAATATGTGTGTGGTACTTTTCCATTACCATTTGATACCGGGTCCCTCTATGTTAACTTAAGTTTCATGTGAAGTACAGTACATCCCTTCCAGCAGTATGCGTTATGGGCACTCTGGTTTTCCAAGCTGGCAGAGAGTTTTCTAATGTGTCTCAGTAAGTATGTTTACATGCACTTAATTTACTGGATTTCAGTCGGCTTCCTGTAGTAACTACATTTATTCAAGTCATGTAATTGAGAAACCAGATGTCCTTTAGTCAGGTTTTGTGCTTGTGCATGACAAATACCTAAGACAGTCAAAGAATCACAGCAGTGCGACAGGAGTAAAGGAAAGATCATTACACAAACGGATGCTGTGTTGTATTTAAAATAATCCATTTTAAATAGTTTTAATCTTAAGACATCATTTCCACACTAAAATAGTCACTAATACACATAAAATAAGCAAGTCGTGTTTTCAAAAACAAATTGGGTGGTTAGGGGAGAAGTCTGATTACTGATCTGCTGCAGGTACATGCAGATTTTACAGTAATTATGTTACTACAGGGCATGTAAACGTGACTTCCTGTGTAACCTCATTTCTCCCAGGAACCTGTTTGGTTTTTTTTTTTTTTTTTTTTTTTCTTCCCGTGCATGTAAATAAACAGAGAATCTAAGTGTCTATGTTCTATGATGAACTCCAGATGCAGTAAAGAGGAAGATTCTGGTTCTGGACCTGGACGAGACCCTGATCCACTCTCACCATGACGGGGTCCTCAGACCCACAGTGAGACCTGGCACGCCGCCAGACTTCATCCTCAAAGTATGAGCATTCAAGACACACATGAATACGTTTGAACACACGCGCATTCGAGCTTAAAACCTAAATGAACGTGGTTCTTTCTTTCTCTATGCAGGTCGTCATTGACAAGCACCCAGTCAGATTCTTCGTACATAAAAGGCCACATGTTGATTTCTTTTTAGAAGTGGTGAGTGTTTCTGTGTGTGAGTGTTTCTGTGTGTGTTCTGTGTGTGTGTGTGTGTGTGTGTGTGTGTGTGTGTGTGCGTGTGTGTGTGTGTGTGTGTGTGTGTGCGTGTGCACGCTAGATTAGCATGAAAGGGGAAAATACAGCACAGTGTGAACTTGAAACATCAATCCTCGGGTCACGTTTTTGTCTGTCATCTTTGCCATCACTCTCCTTTGAGCTGCACTCTCACACAACCCGATGACATAAAACTATATTTGTTTTGGATAATGGTCCTGACTTACTGTAACTTGTGTACTTACACTGTTGTGTGCTCTGTACTCTGTGTATGTACACAGGTGAGCCAGTGGTACGAGCTGGTGGTTTTCACAGCCAGTATGGAGATCTACGGCTCAGCGGTGGCAGACAAGCTGGACAACAACAGGAATATCCTGAAACGCAGATACTACAGACAGGTACTGCTCTAAACTGATGTTAAACAGCATGTTTTAAAGCTGATACTGCTTACTCTCTCTTTTTTTGATGGTGTTTTTTGTGTTTTTGTTTCTTCTGCCAGCATTGTACATTGGATTTAGGTAGTTATATTAAAGACCTGTCTGTAGTACACGATGACCTGTCCAGTATTGTCATCCTGGACAACTCGCCTGGTGCTTATCGTAGCCATCCAGGTAAGACTCACGGCTTCATGGAGTCACCTCCAACTGCTGTACATCCGTCTATTCCTTGATGTTTTACCCTCATGTCCAAAGAAAAAGTGTGGCTAGATACATAAAAAAAACTGTATATGTATGTTCATGTATTGTACCGCACACATAACTGCACAAACGTCAGTGGTTCTCAAACCTGAAGCATTGTTACCGATAGTAGTTCCACCTGTGCTTTTGCTATGAACAGCTAACACGTCTGCTTCGAAAACGGTTGAAATGATTTTCTACTCTAAAAAGAGAGCATGATGTCAAAAGTTTGAGACTCACGTGGACTTTCAATTTCCAGCGACGTAAAATTGTGCTCTTAAACAGAGTCAAGTTCTGCTTTGTTCGTTGTAGTTTTCGTATGTTTTGTGTGTCACTGGAGAGTTGAGTGAGAGAGTTATAGCTTTAAGTTATTCAGATTGGTACCAGGTTGAAGTGTGTATTTAGGTGCTTGTATTATGTGTACATTGATCTTTAACATACAGAATGAAGTGAGGATTCATCCTATACAGATCAACCTTGTGATGAGGCAGGAAGAGGACAAATAACTGAGCAGCTTATTCCCACTACAAGGCTTGTACTGTAAATGACTTAACATTACATTCAATCTGCAGCTCCGCTAACACTCACTGGCCTCTTTAACAGAGCAGCATAAAAATCACAACCATGTCTGTTTCTCTGACACGACTGACTGGCTGTTTTCTGCCCTCCAGACAATGCAATACCCATCAAGTCCTGGTTCAGCGACCCTAGTGACACAGCACTTCTTAACTTGCTGCCTATGCTGGATGCACTAAGGTAAAAGGCATAATAAAGTTGGCATGAAAGCAAACAGACAACGCAAACACTCATGCATTCTCTCTTCAGTCAAATGGACTGTGGTCGTGCAAGCTAACGGCTGCAACTGGAGTACAGGAGTTTTTTTTACACGTTAACACCTGTCACATTCATATTTGGCTGCAGGTAAATAAGATGAAATAAGACAGTAATTCAATAAAGCTGTTGACAAAAGTTGTTGCTTATAACATGTTCATATTCCCATCGATATGGTGTGTTGCACAGCCGATTAATGACTAAAGGTGCTCCATCTACGCTATCTACAACCATACCTGTCTGTCAGGTCGCAGCCACAGTATACTTTGAAGGCTATCTTGGAGCAAACTTAACAAAATGCTGTGAGAGATTCTTGGGAGTAGTTCAGTATTTTGGGAAATAGGCTTATTTGCTTTCTTTATGAGAGTAAGATGAGAAAGACCCTTGGCAGCAGCTTAAGAACAAAAATGGAGTTAGCCTAGATTAACATAAAGACTAAAAGCAGAGTGAAACGCCTAGCCTGGCTTTGTTCAAAGTTAAAAATAGCCACGGATGAAAGCTGCATGTTAACAGAGCAGCAGCAGCAACTTTGGTCCTCTTCCCTCTGTGTCTACACAGGATGCATTCAGGCACAGTTTGAGCATAGGTCACCTGCATTTTGGTGATGCTCACTGAGCCCACTCACTGTAAACAGAAGAAAATAGACATGATGCGTACAAATATGCCTCAGGTTGCTTTACCTCACACAGCGCAAGTAAAGCGTAGACCATAATGCTGCCATTGAAGCGCATGTGTTCAGTGACATGCTTGTGAAACAGACAAATACCCCGTGTGAAATGCTTCCTGTGTTGCTCACTAACACATTGTATCTAATTTGTTTAATACATACATAATCTGAGACAGTGAAATGTCTCTGCAGCTTGACGGATTGTTTAACTGTTGTTTGTCAAGTAAGTTATCACGAGTAACCCACCCTAAAACAAGTTTGTTTTTCTGCTTATGTGTAGACTAAGTAAAGGAGATATAATGGGTGTATTAGTAAGCTTTAGTCGGCATCGTTTTTCACTTTGAACTAGGGCTGAACAATTAATTGCATTTGCGATATTATCACGATGTAATAAATCGCAAAGGCTGCGATTACACTCTGGTCACATGACACCCAAGAGGAAAGCAGTCTGACGTTACGCTGTACCTTGCCGCCTTGTTGTTGTACACTGGCCTTAAGCTTGACAGAAGCGGTCAATACATAAACTTTAGTGTCACACAGGGAATGAAAGATCTTCGGGCCATCCGCTGCTTTGACAGACAGGAAAAATGCACCACAGAAAGACACATGTAGTAAGGTAAGCGTATTGTGGCGATGGGCGCCTGCATCACGCACACGCCACCAGTTAGAAAGAGGCCCAGTCTGTCCCGAGTTACAGCCAGTGCACCGCTTATCAGCATCGCAGGCTGCAGGGGAACTCCGGTGTTGTTGGAGAATTACTAAGTTTGTCTAATAAACACAAGAGGTGTCAAGTTTTGGCATTTTCAGGTATTTTTTGTTTGCTTACTGCCATACAGAAAGGTGGACTCCTGGGAGACTTGAACTGAGATAAGGATGCATTAATTGGTGGTTGAACTGTGGGTTTTGTATTGACCGCTCCGTGAACTTAGTTTTTCTTGTGGTCTGTAGGTTGGCCAACCTGATGATATTATTTAATGCCATGACTTGACTCAAATTGTCTTTCTCATATTATTATAATTTGATACTTCTTCTCCACCCTGCGATGGACTGGCGACCTGTCCAGGGTGTACCCCGCCTTTCGCCCGATGTCATCTGGGATTGGCTCCAGCCCCAAAACAAATCGCAATTAGATTATTTTCCAAAATCGTTCAGCCCTACTATAGGACAGAGTCAGGCTAGGTGTTGCAACCTGACTGTAGTCGTTATGTTGAGCTAATCTAAACACATTGGACTCCAGCTTCATACTTAGAGCCACAATGGGTATCACTCTTCTCATCTCACACTCAGAAAGAAAGCAAATACGCACATTTCACGTTGAACGATTCCTGTTAATGGCTGAGATAGGTGCTTTCATTGCCTCTCTCTCCATCTCTTAGGTTCACTGCTGATGTCCGCTCCGTCCTCAGTCGAAACCTCCACCAGCACCGGCTCTGGTGATTGGCTGATTTGAGAGAGGCGGGGCTTGTTGACCAGCCTCTTCCTCTCTGCCGGCTTCCATCCTGCCCTCCATTCCCACACAGACGACCCACCAGCCCTCTCTGAGCCTCTCAGACGTGTCCTGGGGAGATGAGGGTTGGGGTGACCGCCTAACACGGGATGAACAGTATGGGATCACCAGAGCCCAGAAACTACTGAGGAGGGGAGGGGGGGGGCCAGCTTGTTTTGTTTTTTTTCCTCTCTTTTTTTTCTTGATTCTTTAGTTGTATTTTTTTTTTTCCAAAACAAAACGGAGCCTCTCTGCCTTATCGCTCCAGATACTGTGTGCGTATGGAGGTGAGCTTGTGTACATGAGTCGGAGTATGCTTGATGAGTTTGTCAGTCCTTTTTAAACTTTTTTGACAACCGGGAGGGGGGAAAGAGGAGGATCAGCTAAGCTACAAAGACAATTCTACATTATTATTTCTTCTTCTTCTCCATCGTCACCAGACATTGCACTTAAGCAGACAACTCATCAATTTACTGTCTTAACCTCTCGGGGCAACAGAGTAGGGTAAAATAGAAAAACGCCCCTTTTTAGGTCAACATCAAACTCCAAGGGTGATTCATTTATTCCTGAGGTATGTTTTTTTCCTAAAGAAGAATGGATCAACTTAAACGGTGTAATTGATGGACTTTTGCTTGCAACATACCATCCACAGGTATTTTTCTGGACAAATAGCCACGCAGCCTGATTTTTTTGTTTGTTTTTGTTTTTTTCTTGTCCCTTCAGCCATAACCATCACTCTTTCCCCAAAGCTCCTCATGGAACTCTGTGATAAAGACAACTGAGAAATTGTTAGAGGAAAAAAAAAGAATGGCTTGTGACGATATGTGGACTGCCGTGCCACCTTTCCATATCTGATTGTTTCTCTATTATAATATATGATAATATGACATTTTGCTCGGCCCCTTTTGCCATTTGATGCCATCCTGATTACATCTAATAGGAATTCCTCCCTTCTGTTTTTTGTTGCAGTCGGTTTTGTATTTGATTCAAATTTGCAGACCCCTTTCAGTTTTCACCCACTCCGCTTACTGTATGGGTTCAACTATTAGACCCTCCGTCTTTAAATGCCTTCTGAACAATGTCAGTCTTGTCAAGGCTCACAGCGGCTTCTTATTGGCTCTGTCTCCAGGTCTGTGTTACTAATAAAACACTTGTCAGTATCGACCAGTAACTATTCAGCTTGTTTTCTTTTAATCCACTTTGTACTGTAATCTAAGTCGTACTTAAGGCGTTTTTACACCTTCTTAACGTTGCTGGGGCGATGGATTCACAGTTTCTGCTTGAGGCAAAAATGTTTTGCTAATCTGCTGCCATCATGTGGTGTGACTGGAAACTGCACTGGTCCACTTAGTATTCCTACCCTGCTCCAGAGACATACAAAATGTAATTTTGGGTTCATGCATACCAACAATACTCTGGTACCAAATTAGAAATTGTCTCCCATAATGATGCCTTCTTGGCCTACAAATGAAAGAAACCGACGCCATATTGTTTAAGAGCTTTATCGTGTCATGCGTGGCACTTAACAGCTTGTCGTTTCTGTGTGTATGTACTGATACACAGTCAGCTGCCAGTTTGTTAGGATCACCTTAAACTAATGTAGTCTTATAAAAAGTCCTGCAATAAACCCTGCCTTCATGGTTTAAGAATATGAGAGAGAGGTGTTGATTCAACTGTGTGATCATTTTGGAGTCTTACGCTGACGGGTGCTAGTGATATTTATACCCCGTTTCTATCTGTGATTGTGGCTCTCTAAAACAGTTTTAACACAAACTCAGCATTATAACCTTTATAACCTTTGGTGGCAGGATTTATAACAAGACTGTTGTATTAGACTGCATTCGTTTCAGGTAGGTGTTCCTAATAAACTGGCAACTGAGTGTGTATACATGGTGTGATAAATGTAGGCAAATGTCACTTTTTAAGGATTCATGTGCAAATTTAGTGTCATTCTGTTATTCCATGCAGCTACTGTATGTATTTATTGCCTTTTCAGCAGTGCTAATTTTATCAGTTAGCAACCTTACTTAAAACTGAATTTTGTTGTGGATTTGCCACAACAATGTGATTTTTCAGCCCTCTTAGTCAGAGCTTACAGGTATGTTCCTGAACTTCAGTGCAGAGGTAGGCCACTATACTGTGGCGGGCCCAGAGTATACTGGCATAAATTATCTGTTGTTTTTCCCAACACCTCTACCTCATCCTGATGATGGGTTTAAAGGTAAAACCAAAAACTTGAAACAGCAAACATGTTTCTGTAATTGTTTAGAGTAACTTTACTCTTGCAGGAGTTCCAGCCAGCCACCATGTGACGTCTCACCTCTGTTGTGTTTGTCAGCGGTTCCTAGGAGAGGGGACTTCCAGGGAGGACTGCTTTCTTTTTTCCGTCACTTCCTAGATGTCACTTCCTAAGTATTGGGCATGAGCTGCCCATTACTCTGGAGGCTAACAGTGTGAGGAATGTAATCTCACAAACGAATGCTTTCATCCCAAGTGACCTGAGTGAAGCAATAATTCAGCATAGTATGAAAACGAGTGGTACAACATAACCCGGACTTTTAAAGAATTTAAGTTAGAATTATTCCTCCTATCAATCCAGGTTTGCACCACTGGAGGAATGAGGTGGAGAATGGGCAGGTGGACTAACAGCAGTGCTTTGAATTAGAGGTGAACAGCCAGTGAAGCGCAGAGAGAGGAGGGAGACAGGGAGGACTGTTGCTTCCTGGATAGCTGCCGCAGCGCGGAGTCACTGTGCATGGAGTTGGAGATGACCGGACTGATAAGGCATGACTGAGCTGTAGCTGCTGAGTAGGCCTTGTGGGAGAGTTGGTGGTTGGGGATCATAACTTCATGGTTTGCGGTGGAAGGCAGTAGGTATTACTATGTCCCTCTGTTATGCAGAACTCTGAAGAGTCAAAAGGAGGAGAGGAGGGATCAATGGAAACGGGAGTCAGTTATTTAAACTTTTTACACCTTTGACATCATAGTGGAAGTAAGTCCCACACTAAGCCTAATCGTTAGGCTCAAGTTTTATTGTAGGCCTAAAGCTCTGGAAAACAGTCCCGTCCACAAGTGACTCACCACATTACCTACAGCGCTAGAGCCGAGTAAAACCTACAATCCCTACAAAGTCACTGACATGGAGGAGATGAGATGAGCCCGGATGTTGAAAACATGACCTAAAATTATCTGTTAACGTTCTACTTGGAAGACAAAGGGTTGGTTTTGCTGTCTCCATTGTTTAAGAGAAGTGTGTAAACACACGAGGGACTTTTTAGATTAATGCAGTCTGTCGGGTTATCAGAGCACACAGAACAAACCACCATAAGACCATGAAGCACAGATGTCACATGAGCCAGTAGAGTGAGTCATAGAGATGTGGGACAGTTGCGCAATAGACAGGTTAACAACTTTTGCCGTGAGTGTTTCAGGAAACTGGAAGGCAAACTGTTACTCTCAGACTTCATCTACTTAGTAAATGTTCTGTATAAAATAACCATCTGTATCATTTTTCTGAATAAACTTGCTGCTTTACTGTTAAAATTAAGTGACTGATTTGGTCAATGAGTAGTGTATTCTTCTAAATTCCCAAAACTAGTAAAGGAGTTGTCTTAAAACCAGTATTCACCACCATAACATTACACTCCATTAAAGGTATATTTAAAAAAAGTTAGTGGCCAACTAGAAAATCTACTCCTTTTGATAAAATGCTCATAAATTTTAGGGGGAGACTTTTACTGTATCTAATGTATTTTCTTCATCAGTTTAGATCTATGTGAGTCTAAGCTTAACCAATTTTGATGGCAGCCTGAAAGTCATTGCATTTAATGGGTCACAACATACCACCCACCCAAAAGTGGGCAACTACCCAAGAATTTGAGCGGCCCCACAAACCTCCAATGTGTTGTAATAATGGTCAATCAGCTCATGTTTCTCCATGTAGAGCACAACCAAGTTAATCTGGCCATGTGAAAAGGTAGGGTATTATGATTAGACCCTATGGGATGTCAGCTTCAGGTGCAGATCAGCACTACTGAAGCTGGAAGGGGTTCCTGCTCAGTGGCACTTAAGCAGGGTTAATTATTTTTCCTTTTATTTTGCGGGTTCAGGGGTCGAATAATGATCTCTTTCGTATTTTTATTACGTGTTTGTCTGATGTGGCAACAATGGAAATTGCTAAACTTGCCAAATTAGTCGTTATCGAGCCCTATGTTCGGATTATGAGTAAACAGACAATAACTTATTTTTATTAGGACCTGCTGAATGTCCGTGGGCCCATATTTACAGCACCGTTGATCTAGACAGTTAAAAATAATTTAATATCGCATGTTTTTGAGTTTCCTCTCCCTAGCTGCTAACTGCTGGGCCTCGGTCATATGACAAGGACAGCTGCCGATTCACCGGTCTGCCCTACGTGTTTGAGCGCAGCGGTTGATCAAAATAAAATAGTTCCACAGAAAATTGCATCATAGATTTTAAATCACGTCAAAAATGATTAATTTCGAAGAAAGGTATTTTACTCGAATAAACACCGATTGTCTCTTTCCAATTAAAGTTAACCTGACCTGGGATCGTGTGAAGTACAGCCCTGCGAACTAGACTCTCTGCTACGTCATGTTGTTATTGTATCCCTCCGCCGCAGTCGCACTAGGAAAACAGCTGTGGCGAGCTAACAGCTAGTTAGCATCATTTGTTTTCGTCGTGTGTGTCAGCGACTTGGGTCAGTTCCGTGAGCAAACCGCTACCGTACGACCTCGGAGTGACTGACTTGTTGTCTGTCATCTCTTTTCAAGATGAAGTTTCAGTACAAAGAAGAGCACCCTTTTGAGAAAAGGCGGTCCGAGGGCGAGAAAATAAGGAAGAAGTATCCGGACAGGGTACCAGTAAGTAGCTAACGTTAGCTCGGTAGCTTGACCCAGCGCTATGTTGTTAGCACTTTCACTGGGAGCTATGCTAGATTGCTCACGCCAAACTCAACCAACTGCAACACTAGCGCTGTTTAGCTTATTGCTTGTGATACGTACATAAAAATAACTATAATTACCTGGTTCATTTACAGCTACACACCAGTTCCCGTATTTATATCCATAGTTAAATGCCACGCCAGTAAGCTAACAAAGCTAGAGGTTAACCGAAAATGACTTCGGCCGCAGTGAACAGGCCAGGTACTGAGAGCTACGTGTAATCCTTCCGGGTGTGTTTTTATTTTAAGCTAATATTTGCAAATTACAAATACAGGCCCCTTTTATATCAAAGGTTATACCGGCTGTGGAGGCCATTAGAGCGAAAGACGGACAGTGTGAACAGGCTGATCGGTGAGCTGGGTGTAGTTCAGGCTGTTATGTTGAAAAGGCAGCAGCAACGCACCTTAAAATAGTCAACTTGTTTACGTCGATCTGGCTCTTGTAGATTGCAGATTTATCTGCTCCGGACTCTGTGATGAATGACGAGCTTGAATTGTCCCTACAATAGAAAATTTACTACATCTCTTCTCTCGGTCATAGATTGCAGCTAACGACTTATTGCCATTATCGAAAAATCAAGTCAGTTAATCGAACAGTCTAATGTCAGTAAATGGTATATAAAAAAAACAGCACATCACAAGTGCCCAAAGTAGAAGAGGCCAAATTCAAATGCCTTGTTTTGATGAAATTATATTAATTTTACTGTCATAGAAGACTAAGGAAGAATTGGGTTTATTGCCAGTTACATTTTTAGAATAGGAGGAATTTGCCCTGGTATATATTGGTGCTTAACAAAGACATTAACATAAATATAGAAAAAGTAAAGAGATCAAAATGTACAAGTATACAGAATAATACTAATATGAAAAATATACAGGATAATTAACAAGGAATGTTCAAAAATTCCCCCAAAATACCTTGGTTAAAAAGAAATTCTTGCTGATAGATTTTCTGTCTGTTGACTAATTGTTTAAGGTCTACAATGACTGGTGTGTGTGCAGACAGTATTTTACAAGTCCTATTTTTAGACCTAAGAGGAGAAACTTAAAAATAGTCCTAAATCCTAGGTCTGAATTGTAAATATATAAATGAACTGTTTTCTTTTCTAATTGACCCGCTATAAAATACTTCGGTAGTTCAAATAATATATATAATCAACCATTAGATCTGGGCTAAATGTATTTCAGTCCTCGCTTGACTGACAATT